AAACCCAGGTCTCCCACATTGCAGGCGGATTCTTTACCACCTAAGCTACCAGGGAAGCCCAATACATGATCAGTGACCTTCATTTATTGAGAAATCCAATAAATACCTTTCAATCCTTGTCTTACTTGCCTCTATTATGGGTTGAATGTCTGCATGGCCCCCTACGGTTCCTATGTTGAAGTCCTCATTCCTGATACCTCCGTCTGTGACCTTATTTGGAAAAAATGTCATTGCAGACACAATTGGGCTTCTCAGCTGGTGCAGTGATAAAGAACCCGCCTGCCAGTGCAGGAGACACGGGTTGGATCCCTGGGTCAGGAAGATCCCCTGGAGTAGGAAATGGCTACCCACTCCAGTATTCTTGCCTGGAGAATCCCATGGACACAGGAGCCTGATAGGGTCACAAAGAGTCAGACACAATTGAAGCAATTAAGCATGCCCACACGCAGACATAATTAGTTAAGAATTGATCATACTGGAATGGAGTGGGCCCCCATTCAATATGACTGGTGACCTTATAAACAGGGGGGATTTGGAAACAGACATGCACACACAGAGAACACCATGTGTATTTGGAGCTGTTCTGCTCTGAGAAGCTTCCAGAAGCCAGAGAAAGGCCTGCAGTAGATCCTGCCCCAGCACCTGCAGGGGGGCGTGGCCTTGCCAACATCTTGATTTCAGGCTTCTTGCCTCCAGAACAACAGGTCCGTTGTTCAAGCCACCCAGTTTGTGGTGTTTTGCGACTACAGCCCTAGCAAACCAATTCAGTCTCCCAGAAGCACTCGGCAAGAGTGACAACTGAAATACTTTCTCACCCCTTCAGATCAGTGTCACTTCCGTGGCCGGGGGTTTATCCCACCACTCTCAGGTTCTTCACCACCTCTTCCTCTGGTTTGTCTCAATGGTGCTGTTCCCCGGGCTTCTGACCTAGGCCTTCTCCTTCTTTTTTATTATATTTATTAATTTTTTTGGCTGTGCTGGGTCTTAATTGCAGCATGCGAACTCTTCAGGATCAAACCTGGGCACCGTGCATTGGGAGCACTGGACCACTTAGCACTGGGAGCATCGGGAGCACTTCGCCACCGGACCACCGGGGAAATGCCAAGGCCTTGTGTTTTCACTTCGCATAATGTCCTGAGTGGTTCACCTCATCACTTGAATTACTGCTCAGACGGTGGTGTGTCAAGCAATGTTTCACAACTGGCTCTGTGAGAGGAGAGGAGACTGATTTATGTTTCTTTCTGATTTCTGTAGTCTAAACACCCCCGCCATGGCTGATTTCAAACTGCCAACAGTTAAACACTGGTTCTCAAAACATAACGGTTGGCTCTCACAAGCTGGTACCAGCCTGTGCAGGGTGGCTCCCACACACCTCCGCTTTTGTGTCGGAGATAAGCAACTTATTTTTACACATACAGTATAACAAAAATACCTGCAGACATTTCTTTCCACTAACGAAGTTCCAGAAACACAACACCCACCACAGCTTTCGTGTGTTCTTCGGCTATTTGCATGTCATTGTGGTGGTGGTGGTGAATTATTTTCCTCCTTTCTTTTTTCCGTGTGTGATAGAAATACTGTACCTTTGTTCAGTTTTGTTTTTAGGACAGGCTCGCAGGTGTTTTAAATCTGGCTTTTGTGAGAGAGCATCGATATTGTTTCTCAAAACAAGAAAAGATTCCATTGCAAAGGAGACAGACAAAAAGGTCCTTGACACAATACTCTGAAACAGGTGATTTTGTTTACTTGGCAGAAGCCACAGCATTGGGTTTTAATTCTGTTCAGGAACCGGTCTATGTCTGATCCCTCATGCCCTGTTGTCAGGCTGGACTCGATTGTTCATGCACTTGGGCATGCTTGCTGAGTCACTTCAGTCGTGTCCGACTCATTGCGATCCTATGGACTGTAGCCCACCAGGCTCCTCAGTCCATGGGATTCCCCAGGCAAGAATATGAACCTTTATTAAGCACCGGCTATATGCCAAGTACTTGTCTAGGTGCTTATCTGGGCACTGAGCAGATTCTGATGAGCCACCGAGTCCCTCCTTTCACAGAACTTAGCTCAAGGTGGGGGTGGGCATAGATAGTAATCCAAGGAAACGCAATAGAAGCTAATCTCAGAGACTGCTGGATGCTCAGAAGAAAACAAAGGCAGGGTAATGTGGTCAAGAGTAACTTGAGCCACCCCTTCCAGGAGCCAGGCTCTGGTGCTCCAACTTCAGAGGCAGGCTATACAGGGACACCCGCCTTGAGGTCCCACAGCTCCTGCCTGCACTCGTGTTCCCTGCATTTCCCAGACAGCGCCATTTCAATTGCTCTCCCACCTCAATTGCTTGCAGACATCAGCCCCACAAATCTAAAAAAACTTCCTCTGTCACCACACACAACCAAAATTGAAATCAAGGACCAGTATCAGTGCCTGGCCAAAAAGCAGTGGAACAGGGCCAGCCTGAAGTGACTCTGCAGAAGTTCCTTATATCAGGTTTAGGGTTGCAACTCTGCCTGTGGGCTAGGGGTTCACTAGTTCACAGCAGTGGTTCACATTAGTGGAACCACACTAGCCAAAGCACCAAAGCTGAGCACCGAGGAACTGATGCTTTTGGTGCTGGATAAGACTCTTGAGAGTCCCTTGGATGGCAAGGAGATCCAACCAGTCCATCCTAAAGGAAATCAGTCCTGAATATTCATTGGAAGAACTGATGCTGAAGCTGAAGCTCCAAGACTTTGGCCACCTGATGCGAAGAGCTGACTCATTAGAGAAGACCCTGATGCTGGGAAAGAAGGGGACGACAGAGGATGGATGGTTGGATGGCATCACTGACTCAATGGACCTGAGTTTGAGCAAACTCCAGGAGATAGTGAAGGACAAGGAAGCCTGGTATGCTGCACTCCATGATGTTGCAAAGAGTCGGACATGACTGAGTGACTGAACAATAACTAAAGGGTAACCACACTAGTGGTTCACACTGAGCATTCACTGACCTTTAGACTGAGGACTCACCTCCCCTTTATGTGTCTTCTGAGCTCCAGACACACATGGCCTAGGGCCTGATGGAAACGGTTATTGGTGCACCACTGGTATCTTGCAACACTGAGCCCCATGCCTGCTTTCATCCCTGTCTCCAGTCTAACGCCTATTTATTTTTCATCTCATCAAATGATGTTACTGTCTTCCAAGATGCTTCCCAGGAGTAATCTTGGATCCTTCTCCAACATTCTGTTAAATACTCAATTAGTATTTCTAGGTTTCCCAGGTAGCTCAGTGGTAAAGAATCTGCCTGCCAATGCAGGAGGTACAGTTTCAGTTCCTGGGTGGGGAAGATCCCACAGAGGAGGAAGTGGCAACCTATTCCAGTATTCTTGCTGGGAAAATTCCATGGACAGAGGAGCCTGGTGGACTACAGTCTGTGGGGTCGCAGAGTCAGACACGACTAAGCATGCATGCCCACTAATATTTCTGTCTCCACTTGTGTCTTGAATTTATCCACTTCTCTTCATCCCTACTTTTGTTGCCTGACCTCAGCCCATCACTTTCTTTCAATATTAACACGACCACAGTCTTGGTCCCTCTATTCAGTGACTTACATGGCAGCCTGGGATTCTTTTCTAAAACAAAAGTCTGGTGCATTGCTTTAAATCCTCCCATGGCCACCATCTTATAAACCAGAACTCCTGGACATAGCAGCTCACCAGCCATCCATGATATGGTCCTGCCTGCCTCTCCAGTCTATCCTCTCCCAGAACCTCCCTGCCCCCAGTCTCCAGGCTCAAGCCACACCTTGAGCATCTTAAAAGAACTTGAAGTATTTTTGAGGGTTCCTGAACCTATGGTGGGTCCTGGCACAAGGAGATGAAGCGCAAAGTGAGATTCATTCAGGGATGTTATCACTGTGGAACTGACTGAAATCCCCAACAGCACCAGAGAACTCTGGGGACGGTGGCATCTGCCAGGAAATCCTCAGAACCTCTTGAAAATAAATGGGAATGTTAGCTCGGACCAAGTAAGGATTCAGAAGAAAGTCATTTCCACTTCACTACGAATCCAAATAAAACTAAACTGCAGGAAGGGGGAACAGGATGTCAAGAAATATTGGCAATTAGATAGTTCTCTGGCATGATTTTCCAACTTGAAACAAACCCACACATAAACTAATTAAATGGGCCATTTTGAGAAAACACAGCACCAGTCCCATGTGTTTTAAGAGCTTTCCAGAGAGCATGGTGGCCAGGATCCCATATGTGAGGCTTCAGAAATACATGGCAGCTTGTTCCTGTTACCTGCGTCTTCTGTTTTCTTAGTTTTTTTCACTTAAGTATTCATGACATCTTCATCTTTCTGAGAGAATGGATTATAAATCATTTGAATTCGGTTCTATAACATTCTGTACCATTCTGAGCACCTAACAGGAGTGTTTTTGGCTTGATGACATATGCATTTAGAATTTCTTGAATTGGAAGTGTTCTTGGTGGATAGGAATTAGAATCTTACACCATTCTAAGTCATTTGACTAAAATTGAAAAGGATGGTTTTCCTTGGGGTGGAGATGGAGTTTGGTGAGGGAGAGGAGAAGGACTCGTAAGTCTTTATGAACTTCTCTGGGAACATAAATTTTTGAAGACAATATAGTTTTCAAGGAGACACAGAGTCATCTTTCCTGTAGTTTCCACTCTCTTGTATCTTTTCCTCCATCAGTCACAGAAGATTATGAATTCTCTGAAAGCACTAAAGACTATCTTGCTAGTCAGGTTGAAATATATAAGCTCGTGGCTGAGTCAGATGCCTCCCAGTTGCCTTCAGATGCCTATAAGAGCAGCCTTGCAATTAGGAAGATTCCAATTGAGACAATGTCCCCGTTAGAGTGATATGACTTCTCTCTCCAGCGTCCTTACAGCTACATGTTAGAAATTGGGTCCACCAAGAGAGAAGGGAGTCAATGTGTAGACGTTATTGTCTTGGGGGAAAAAATAATAACTTTAATTTCTTGCTTGTCTTCATAACAGTTCTTCAAAACTTCGTACCTTGGCCAGAGGTTTGTCTCCTGCATACCTAAGATTTGGTGGCACCAAGGCAGACTTTCTCATTTTTGACCCCAAGAAGGAACCAGCCTTTGAAGAGAGAAGTTACTGGCTATCTCAAGTCAACCAGGGTGAAACTTTTTAAAGATTACCCATTTATTTGAATTCGCTTGAGTCGGTCACGAGCATTCTCAGAGAGCTGTTTGTCACATCACCAATTGATAAGAGATGAAGGGTTCCCAGTGGAACTGTGGGGATGCCTACACAAAAGGAGGAAGCAGTGGGCAGGTTTCCTCCTCTTGATGTTCTCAGGAATGTGAGACGTGGGGGGCGCGGGGAAGGTGCTGAACACGGCTTTAAGAGAGTTAGTGTTACTCCCTCAGTCTTGTTCGACTCTTTGCGACCCCTATTGGCTGTAGCCTTCCAGGGGATCTTCCCAACACAGGGATCGAACCCCGGTCTCCAGCATTGCAGGAGAGTTCTTTACCATCTGAGCCAGCAGGGAAGCCCTTAAGAGAGTTAGTTGCGCTATAAACAGAACAAAGATCATAACTAAAGGGCAGAGCTGCCTCGAGCAACCTGTGGGGAAAAATGCACCAAAACAGTATTCCCTGCTGAAGAGACAGTGCTGATTGAAACTCATTTATTCCGGAAAATGTGGATGAAAGGTGTAATAAGGGGATGTGGAGATACGCTCTGTGTCTAAGAATGGATTTTAAGGCTTGATTTGTTGGGCAGTGGTTCTCAGACTTTATTGACTATACACAGTCACCCAGGGGGAGTTTGAATATTTGAATTCCTGGGCGCCAACCTTAGATTACAAGTTGAGCAAGCTCCTGCTTGTGATTCTAAATATTAGGAGTCTGTGGGCTTCATCTGAGAAACACGTTAAGGCACCACGAGGATTTGCCCTGTGTCTTTCATAAGTGCTATACAGACATCAAATGGAAGTTGAATTAGTATCTTAACAATTATTGAAAATACCGTATACATCCGAATACATTACAATAATGTATTATGTATATATTAATGAACAATATTTTGCTATTTTATATATTACATTTTTTTGTGGTTAGGAAGTGTTTAGAACAGTTAATCAGTAACTGGGCCAAAGTTAATAGAATAGTAATTAGGAAAAAATGAACAAAAGCAGGAGGGTTTTTTTAGAGTAACATGTCAAAATATATTTAGACCTGGCCCTTTCTCCCCAGTCAGTCATACGCGTTTGGAAGTTCTCATCAGTTTACACAGGAGTCTGTCCATCATTCATCAGTCTTCTTCATCCTGGTGGGCAGAGAGGATCCCTGGGATTATCCAAGTGCTTCTGAAACGTCCTTCATGAGGGACTTCCCTGGTGGCTCAGGCTGTAAAGAATCTGCCTGCAATGCAGGAGACCCAGGTTCGATCCCTGGGTCAGGAAGATCCCCTGGAGAAGGGAATGGCAACCCACTCCAGTAGTTTTCATTATGCCTGCCCTCTGATGGATGAGGATTAGAGGCTTGTGGATCCTTCTTGATGGGAAGGACTGACTGTGGGGGAAACTGGGTCTTGCTCTCATGGGCAGGGAATGCTACTCAGTAAATCTTGAATCCAATTTTCTGCCAGTGGGTGGGGCTGTGTTCCCTCCCTGTAGTTTGACCTGAGGCCAAACTGTGGTAGGGATAAAGATTGAAGGGAGGAGGGGAAGGGGACGACAGAGGGCGAGATGGTTGGATGGCATCACTGACTCAGTGGACATGAGTTTGAGCAAGCTCTGGGAGATGGTGAAGGATAGGGAAGCCTGGCATGCTGCAGTCCATGGGGTCTCTAAGAGTCGGACACTGCTTAGCGACTGAACAACAACCCACTCCAGCATTCTTGACTGGAGAATCCCTTGGACCAAGGAGCCTGGTGGGTTACAGTCCATGGGGTCACAGTGTCGGACCCGACTGAGCAACCAACACTCTCTGGAACATCGTTTTTATGAACACAGGATGGATGAGGCACCAGCTGTCAGGAAGCCAGAATGTGAAGCTTCTGAGAAAGGAAGTCACGGGGGTCAGCCAGTCCTCGCAGCTTGAGCCTGGCAGCCCTGCTGCCTTGTGATAAAGAAGTATGACAAGTACTATCCTGCCGGACAGGATGGGGTAGATTTGTCCAAGTACACACGCTGTGGTCTCGGGTGCTTTGATGAGACCAGATATGAAGGAATACAAGTCAGCATTCCCTGTCCTACCATTTTGGCAAGAGGAAATTGCCACAAAGCAGATATAGTCCATGCAAAGCAAATTGCTGTGTATTTTCAAAATGAACCTTAAGAGAACTGAACAATGTTTTGTCTTCCAGGGGGTTCCTCTAGTAACATCAAGTTTCCGAGGAGCCTCCTGAATTGCTAAATAACTTGAAGTTGTGTGCAGTGTATCTGTGACCAGTATATGTGTGGTGTTTCTTAGGAAACATGCCCTTTGGCTGTTTGTTGTTTTTTTGTGTGGTGATTGGTCAAGCAGCAAATTTGACATATGTAACAGAATACATCTTTCTCTGATCTTAGACCCCCAAACCGGAAACTCAGCTATCCTGCTTTAGTTCACATATATAGCTAGGTAAATAAGTGTATGGGATGTCAACCTTATCATTGTAAAAGTAGATTCTCTGAATTTTTCCTTCCATTTGCAGATATTTGCAAATCCGGATCCATCCCTTCTGAGGTGGAGAAGAAGCTGCGGTTGGAATGGCCCTTCCAGGAGCAACTGCTGCTCAGAGAACAGTATCAGAAAAAGTTCAAAAACAGTACCTACTCAAGTAAGAAACGAAAGGTACCCTTCTGGTGTCCCAACCCCTGAAATGTTTGGATGGCTTGAACTTGGGCTAAAATTTAAGAAACCCTATAACAGTCATGGAAAGCTGCATAATCCTCAAATGTTAGCAAGAGTTAGTGGACAATCTTGAACCCCAAGTTTCTGTTTTCTTTATCTGACTTTGCCTACTAGCCAGGGCGTCATTCATTCTATTGTATCCATAGTATCAATAGTGTACAAATATCAATCCCAATCTCCCAATTCATCCCACCCCACGCCCAGTTTTCCCCCTTACTCTCCAAACATTTGTTCTTACATCTGTACCTCTATTTCTGCTTTGCAAATGAGATCATCTATACCATTTTTCTGGGCTTCCCAGGTAGTGCTAGTTGTAAAGAACCTGTCTGCCAATGCAGGAGACATAAGAGACTCAGGTTTGATCCCTGGGTCGGGAAGATCCCCTGGAGGAGAGCATGGCAACCCATTCCAGTGTTCTTGCCTGGAGAATCCCATGGACAGAGGAGCCTGGTGGGCTATAGTCCATAGGGTCACAAAGAGTTGGTCACAACTGACGCAATTTAGCACGCATGCACACACACATATTGTTTTCCTGAGTAGATAACTAATGAGAACCTACTGTATAGCTCTGGGAACTCGGCTCAGTGCTCTGGAGTGACCTAAACGGGAAGAAAATTCAAGAAAGGGAGTGTATGGATACGTGTAGCTGATTCACTTTGCTATAGAGCAGAAACTAACACAACATTGTAAAGCAGTGACAATTTATAAAAAGAATCATTCATTCACGAGCTAATAATGACCTTAACTGCTCTGAAGAACCAGGAAGTCAAGGAAGACGCGAATACATTCCTTGAGAAACAGTAAAATACAAAAAAGTGTGAAGAGTGAAATGTGAAATCATTCACACCTCATTGTCCATTCTGTTTCCCCTCCCAGAACTGTGTATCACTGGCAGGGCAGCTTTCTCGTTTTCTTTCTTGCATGGCTTTGCAAACACAGGACTAGCTCAGCTAGCCAGGAATTTATTTCCATTCATGGAAACAGTTTTCCAGTGTTTAAATAGGATGATGTTGTCACGTGTGTGTGTGTGTGAGTGTGCTGTGTGCTCGGTTGTGTCTGATTCTTTGCAACCACATGGACTGTAGCCCGCCAGGCTCCTCCATCCGTGGAAGTCTCCAGGTAAGAATACTGGAGCAGGTTGTCATTCCTAAACCAGGGCATCTTCCCAACCCAGTACTCAAACACGTGTCTCTTGCATCTCCTACACTGGCAAGCAGATTCTTTACCACTCCACCACCTGATGTTGTTACGCAGATCTCTAAAACAAACAAGCAATCCTTATCTAACTGTAAAATATATTTTTATCTGAAAATTGATGCTTTATACCCAACCAAGGGATGATGTTGTCCCAGATCTCAGTTAAGAAAATGTCCTGCGTAGATACTCTACAACTATCTTCTTTTGACTTATGAGAAATAAATGATCTTGAAGTTAAATTGGGCTAGTCAACATTTCTAAGAGTATATTTTTGATACTAAATTATTTATTTGTAAGATTTTACTATAAACTATCTGGATTCCAGTGTATCCAGTGAATTTTTTAAAATATTTTTTATGTATAAGGTACAGGAGGAAAGTAACATGTAAGAAATCAGAAAATAGGTTATATGCTAATAGAAAATGTAGTCCTCTAAATTATTTTTTGCATTTTGAAGCAGAGGGCTATGGGGAAAATCCTCTAATCCTTTACTAACATGATCTATGGGACTTCCCAGGCAGTCCAGTAGTTAAGATTCTGCACTTCCAGTAGGGGGAGTATTTGTTTGATCCCTGGTTGGGAAAGTGAGATCCCACATGCTGCATGGTGTGGCCAAAAAATAAAACATATTTTTTAAAAAAAGATTAAAAAAAATAATATGATCCACGGTTGAACGAAATTTGGCATGATAGGGCCTTCTCAGATCCCATTAAAGGAATGACAGAAGTCCAAGAGGCCTGCAGCAGTAAGGTCTCATTTGTAATAAATCATCATATAGGCCTGCTAGAAGATGCCATGCTATTAGGCATATAGAGTCGCAATTTTTTCTTAGTCATCTTAAACATATGCCAATTTACCTTAAATTTTTCTTTAAAAATGTTTGCCACCTCACATGATCTTTTTGAACCAAGATGGTAGGTTTTCAGCATCTTTTCCCTGCCCCCTGGAACTTGGACCTTCCTAGTTTCTACACCAGGGGAAAGCCCTTCTTTCACTAACTGTGTTGCTGGGTTAGTATAATCCAAGCCACCCTGTTGGCAGTGCTACAATGTATGACAAATACTACACAGAGTTAATTGTGTTTGGAAATATTTTGATTTCTGATTTTAAAATTTCTATTTTAATCCACATGTCTTAGAAACATACATATAGAAATCTAATGTGTTTGGTCTGGGCAGCAACTCATTGTAGGGATAAGTATCTAAGAAGCTCATAGATGTTGCTACACTTGGTTCTGCATCTGTGGCCAAGGCTGATAATGTCTGAATAACTGAGAGTGGCATGATATGATAGAAGAGGTAGCAAAAGTCTGTTGTGTTCTTTGCTTAGTTAATGGCCTGCCCCTTTGAAACAGGTGTCCTAGAAGCTCTAGGTAAGTTTTCTAATTACAGGACACATTGAATGCTGTGTTTCACTTAAGTAGAGGATGACAACAACATTTGTCATGAGAATATAAATTCACATTGTAAACCTGTCTGGGCAGGAAAAGGAAGCAGTGTTACAGGTATAATTTTGCGTGTGACTGCAGAAGGGAGGATTCCTTTATTAAAATAATCATCTTTAATGAGCTAATTGTTTTCTCTCTTTCTTCTCCACCTTCCTTCCTCATTGTCCCACTCCCAGACTGGATGCTGGACACAGTGACATAAATGGAAATGGCACAATAGTCAGTGCCTATGCTTAATGGTTCATTTAGATTATCTTGGTCCCAGGGAGTTTTCCACCCTCTCAGACAGTGAGAGATAAGAGACTGGATAACGACTGGGAATTGGATAATTAACTATGAGTTTTCTTATTCTTTTTTTTTTTTGAGTTTTCTTATTCTTATTTTGAGGAGGGAATAGGTTGTGTGAGTTTTATTTTATTTTTAAAATTAATTTTTATTGAAATGTAGTTGCTTTGCAGTATATTAGTTTCCACCGTACAGCAACATGAATCAGCTGTGCGTATACATCTGTCCCTTCTGTTTTGGATTTCCTTCACAGGTAGGTCACCATAGAGCACTGAGTCGAGTTCCCTGAGCTATACAGTATGTTCTCATTGGTCATCTATGTTATACAAAGTATCAATAGTGTCTATATGTCAATTTCAATCTCCCAATTCACCCCATCCCTCACAAACCGCCCAATCCCCCCCCCACCAACTTGGTGGGTTTTAAAAAATTTATTTATTTTTAGCTGCACCGTGTCTTTGCCACTCTACCAGGGCTTTCTCTAGTTGCAGTGTGAGGACCTCTCACTGCAGAGGTTTCTCTTGTTGGGGAGCACAGGCTCTAGGGTACGAGGGCTTCAGACTTGTGGTGTAGGGGCTCGGTCGTCTAGACTCACAGGCTCTGGAGCACAGACTCAGTTACCGCAGGTGGGCTTCCTTGCTCCTCGGCATGTGGGATCTTGCCTGACCAGTGATCGAACCTGTGTCTCCTGCATTGTCAGGCGGATTCTTAACCAAAGGACCACCAGGGAAGTCCTGCAGTTTTATTTGTCAAGAGTGGATTTGAACTCTGTAAGATACAGCCCTTATCCTAGGAGACGTTACTGCTATAGAATGTGAAGCTACTTAAAGTGTATTTGGAAAAATGAGGAGATAGAGGAAGAGTAAGGTATGAACTGAATAAATACTCAGAAATGTAGACATTCTAGGTTTCTTGAAAATGCTGTAACTTTTGTTGTGGTTCTAGGCAGTAACAGAGCTTTTACATCTATAACAGTTTTCTGTGGTTTACAAAGGGTTTTCCCATGTGCTATTTCAACTTGGTTCTGTGAGGTAGATGGATGATGGTACTAGTTCCAGATCTGTAGATCAGTACCTGAGGCTTATGCAGGTTGAAGGGTCATCGCTGATCATCCAGTCTTTAAGTGGGAGGGTAAGGCCCAAACTCAGGTATGTGATTCTTGATTGAGGACACATTCTCAACTTGATTTGCTATAGATGTGTAAAATATAGCTGTGACTATGACAGAGAGCCTTTATAACAGGCTCTCGTAATACGACTGCTGCTGCTGCTGCTGAGTCGCGTCAGTCGTGTCCGACTCTGTGCGACCCCATAGACAGTAGCCCACCAGGCTCCCCCGTCCCTGGGATCCTCCAGGCAAGAACACTGGAGTGGGTTGCCATTTCCTTCTCCAGTGCATGAACGTGAAAGTGAAGTTGCTCAGTCGTGTCCGACTCTTAGCGAGCCCATGGACTGCAGCCTACCAGGCTCCTCCATCCATGGGATTTCTCAGGCAAGAGTACTGGAGTGGGGTGCCATTGCCTTCTCCAAGTAATATGGGACTGTCACCAAATAGCTCTGTGATACTGGGCAAAGCTCTTTATTTCTTTGGGTGTCAGTTTCCTCATAGAAAAATGAGGATGGGCGCCAGTTCATTGTAGGAATACGTCTCTAAGAAGCTCATAGATGTTGCCACACTTGGGGAGGACTCCATAAAGGCCCATGCTGTCCTCCACTCTAGCCCTAAGATCCCAGGAAGAAGCTGCAAGACTCAGAGAGCTTTTCAGCCCCCGATGTCTGTAAGTCCTTGATGACAGGCAGCAGTTTTGTGGAAGTGGGTGACACAGCAAATATCAAAAACACCAAAAATAGCTTGCTTGTGTCATTACCGCTCCTCAGCTATTATGGGCAGTATTAAATTTATGGTTTCACTGCTATGGTAACCCAAGTAGTTCAGGCCGAAGACTTAGAAACAAAACCACTTTGAAGGAGAAAGGGGGTAAATCTGCCAGATGCAGATTTTTTTAAAACTAGGGGAGGGACTTCCCTGGTAGCCCAATGGTTAAGAGTCCGAGCTCCCCATATAGGGATATAGGCTCAATCCCTGGTCAGGGAACCAAGATCCCCACTTGCCACAGGACATGGCCAGAAAAGATAGAAATTGAACTAAAGGAGTGAGTTTCTGTTTAATATGTAACTCTAAAATATACATTAAGATCACCAGATTTATGCAGATACTGATTTAAAGATGACACTCAAAAATACATTGTTGCCAGGCTTCCCTGGTGGATTAATGATAAAGAATCTGCCTGCCAAAGCGGGAGACACAGAATTCAATCCCTGGTTCAGGAAGATTCCACGTGCCACGGGGCAACTAAGGCCACGTGCACCAACTACTGAGTCAGCTGTCTACAGCCCGAGCTCCACAAGAGCAGGTACCGCGGTGAGAGGCCAGTGCACCACAGCTAGAGAGTGGTCACCACCGTCCTCAGCTAGAGAATAGCCGTGCGGCAACGAAGACCCGGCAGAGCCAAAGATAAAAATAAATAAAATAAATACACTGTTGCCTCTCTCAGAAAGAGATTATAGGCCAGCTAATGGTTAAAAAACTGAGTTCAAAAGTTCCAAAGCTTTAATAATCCCTTAGTGATTCTGTAATTCTTTTTCACAGCACATCTAGCCCAAAAGAAATGCCTAAGAGTTTCAATTAAACTGTTAGGTTCGAACAACCTTATAGTAATAGTTTCCATCATGTCCAACAGATGTCGATGTGTTCCCTTGCAAATTTCAAAGATCCTGCAGTGCCCTTGTAAGTCGGGTTGCCTGGTTAAATTTTAATTTCAAATAAACAATCATTTCTTTACTGCAGGTTTTTCTCAAATATTGTATTTGACATACACTAAAAACTATTCATTATTTATCTGAAGTTCAAATTTAACTGATGTCAGATGTCCTATATATTCATCTCCTAAACTGTCCCAGTAAATTCACTCCCCAGGGTGCCTTAAGGCCAAAGGAAAAGAGGTCAACTGAGGCTGAGGTGGTTAGAGAGCATCACTGACTCAACGGACATGAATCTGTGCAAACTCCAGGAGATAGTGGGGGACAGAGGAGCCTGGCGCGCTGCACTTCACGGGGTCACAGAGAGTCAGACACGACTTAGCAACTGAACAATAACAAAAGGCTACCTTGGCACTGAATTTGGAAACCACATCCCTAGAGCCCTAAGCCAGTTTTTTAAATGTAAAATTCCATTTGTTAATATTTTGGATTAATAAATTATATACATGATTTTTTCAAACAATGTTTTAAAAAGCTAATCAAAATTACCAAGTCATTTTATGACTGAGTTTGTGAGTGGAGATTTTTAGGTTATGAAGAGTGGAATTTGTGTTGACTAATGAAAAGTCTGGCCTTGCATGCTGAGCACTGTTTCCCCAGTTCACCTGAGGTCACTTCAGCAAAACCCAAGTGTCAGACCAAACCCTCTGGTACGTTCCATGGACTTGATTCAGCAGCTAAAGCAAATAAAGTCATATAGGGTTTTTTTTTTCATCCAATTTTTTGGGACTCCTATTCATCATTATAAGCACTCATTAGGACTAGAATTCCTCCCATTTAACTACAGAAATAGTAATTCATTATGAGGAGCAAATCTGGAAGTCTTCATCACTTTGACATTCAGGTGCTGACCTAACCATGAACTGGCAACATTTTTCTTTTAGAACACTCAGTGGATATGCTGTACACTTTTGCCAGTTGCTCAGGACTGAACTTGATCTTTGGTCTAAATGCATTGCTACGAACCGCAGATATGCACTGGGACAGTTCCAATGCTCGGTTACTGGTGGACTACTGCTCTTCCAAGAATTATAACATTTCTTGGGAACTAGGCAATGGTAAGTGCCTCCCACCTCCAGAAACATTTCCATAATAAGGAGATTCCCCTTTGGCATTATTTGTTCCTATTTATGACCTTTTTAATAATAGCAAATATGCCTTTTGTCTTGGAATAGTTGTGTAAGTGCTTAACGGTGCAAGTTTTAATTATGGCCGAAAACTCCTTATGTAGCCCAGATGTTATTGCTCATCCCAGTTTACATTTGAGCACTTCCACAGCTCCCTTGCCTGCCAGTGCAGGAGATTGTAAGAGATGAGGGTTCAACCTCTGGGTTGGGAAGATCCCCTGGAGGAGGAAATGACAACCCACTCCAGTATTTTTGCCTGGAGAATTCCATGGACAGAGCAGCCTGGTGGGCTACAGTCCATGGGGCCACAAAGAGTCGGACACGATTGAAGAAACTTGGCATGCACAGCTCCCTGATTCCTTTGAGATCTTTAGGGTCGCTTGGCAGGTTGGACTCAAGCAGTTTGCTTCTACCTTTCCATTCCTTCCTCTGTTCTCTGCTTGTCATTTAATCTCAGCAACCCCATCCTGACATTCATAATAGGTTCAAGCTAGAAGTTCCAGGACAGAGTTCCCTCTAGGTCAGGCTCTTGAGTGTCTCCTTCTTCATTCTTTTTTTGCAAGGAACTTATCAATTCTAGTTAAAGTGGGTCTTCTCTGGTGGCTAAGATGGTAAAGAATTCTGCCTGCAATGCAGAAGGCCCAGGTTCAATACCCGGGTGGGGAAGATCCTCTGGAGAAGGAAATGGCAACTCACTCTCGTATACTTGCCTGGAGAATTCTGTGGACCAAGGAGCTTGGTGGGCACAATCATGGGGTTGCAAAGAGTTAGACACAACTGAGTGACTAAGACTTTCACTTTCAAAGTGCTAATTAGCCACATTCATTCAAACGTGTTGACAGTGCTTTGTCCATACATCAGCCAATGGAACTGAACATAAAATGGAAAGTGAGATGGTAAATACAATTTTGACCTTCATTTCATAGATGACCAAAGAGACACAAAAATGCGAGCTAAATATATATATAGCTGTGTGCGTACATCTGTGCTTAGTCGCTCAATCATATCCAACTCTTTGTGACCCCATGGACTGTAGCCCACCAGGCTCCTCTGTCCATGGGATTCTCCAGACAAGAACACTGGAGTGGCTTGCCATTTCCGCCTCAAGGGGATCTTCCCAACCCAAGGATTGAACCCATGTCTCCTGTCTCCTGCACTGTAGGCAGATTCTTTACTTATGATGCTAGGTAATTATGAGTTAGAGAAATCTTAGAGGAGTTAGGATTTGAACCCAGGCAGTCTGGCTCTAGAACGAGGTCATTGCTCTCTTGAGACTTCTGGAGGTAAGGAGCCAGACCTACCAGAAAGCAAGCAAAGAAGTGATGCATATCTATAGTGGTATGTGTTATGATAAAGTCTAGCCACAGATTTGGGGGTTTGGCGGCTGAGGATAACTGACAAGGTGAAGCACTGAAGCAGAATAGAAGGAAGGATAGAGACAACCATGTCTTAGGTAGATGCTCTGACCAAGTTTACTGCAGCAACTATGTGAACCATAGGTCATCCTTACCTGTCTCTGTACATCTCTCCCCCCCCCCCCCCCCCCACTTTTCTACCCTACCCATCGCCAAGTCCTTCTGCTCTTCAGGGCAAGATAAAACAGTGATGTCATCATGTGTCCCTCTTCCTTGGATTCCATTTTGCAAAGAAGGTCTGGTTTCCAGGGTAAAGCAGAAGAATAAAGTAATTTGGAAAGTAGATTAGACATTTTCTGTGCCTTCCTCCCATCTCTTCAGTTTTGTTACTTCCAGATTCACATGCATACATAATTTGCCCCTATAATTCTCAATAAGACTTTTTTTTAAAGAATTTATCTTAATTTTTATTTGCTATTAAGATAACTTTTGATATTATAAGGGCAATATGGTGCTTCAAAAAATTCTAACTAGTGAAGATGACACATGCATTTGGCATTTCACAGATAAACAATATAAGCTCAGTAAGTCTTAATTACATTGTAGAAATGGGTTTTTAAATGCCTTCTCCCTGCACAATCTTTTAAAAGTAAATTAGGCTATTAAATACTGTGTACAGACTATTTCTTGAATATCCATTGGTTTAATGTACCCATCATTAATTTCCAACTGTTTTATTACCCCCTCATACTTCAGTTATATAATTTAAATTTTTGTTTTCCTGTAATATCTTCTTTATAACTAGATAATTTACCTTTCTTGACTTTGGATTCTAAGGTTTTGAATGTGAAAAATGCTCTGTTGCTTTTATGTTGGCTTCTAAATAGAAAAAAATTTTAGGTGGCATTTATTTTGAGAATTGCTATCTTTCAGAACCTAACAGTTTCCAGAAGAAGGCTGGTATTTTCATCGATGGATGGCAGTTAGGAGAAGATTTTATTGAGTTGCATAAACTTCTAGGAAAATCTACTTTCAAAAATGCAAAACTCTATGGTCCTGATGTTGGCCAGCCTAGAAGAAAGACTGTAAAGATGCTGAAGAGGTAAGAGCTAGAGGAAGCAGAGCCACTTTTCTTAAAAATATTTTTCTTTGGTGGAGGATCCTCAATAAACCACCTATTATTAAATAATCTTTGGACTTCCCTGGTGGTCCAGTGGTTAAGATTCTGTGCCTCCATTTCAGGGGGGGCCAGGGTTTGCTCCCTGGTCAGGGAAGTTCCACATGCCGCATGGTGCAGCCAAAATAAATAAATAAACCAATTTGTTGCCTGACTGGATGGTTTACCAAAAGAGCAAATACTGACTCTCTCAGAGTATCAAAGATTTTGGGGCAAATGGCACCTGTGATAAAAATTTGTATTAGAATTAGGAAGTTTGTGTTGCTTTATCCTAAAGTAATAACCAGCCCATTTCTAGGGAAAATAACTCGTGTGCATATATTGTGTGCATATATTATCCATATCAGGATTAAGTGATAATAGTTTTTTTTTTCTAGTTTCCTAAAGGCTGGGGGAGAAGTGATTGATTCAGTTACATGGCATCAGTAAGTATGTCTCCTACTGTTAATACTAAGAAAGTACAGCTAGCTTTACTTATGACCTAGTTTTCAAAACGATGTTTTCATTAAGTGCTAATTGACTTTATAGTGTCTAAAGCAGCATTGTACTAGGATTTTAATATTAATACAGCAAAATTTTTAACTAATTTTAAGTAACATGGTGGTTTCTACAAGATCAAAGCACACTTTCATTTAAGTCATGAAAAAGATAAGTGGCTAAAATGAATATACTTGCCAAAGAACGGATAACCCACAATACCTACACTTGTGACTATGTTTTCTCAAGACAGAGTAACTGGTCTCCTCCCATCTTATTATTCTTGCCTTAGTAGAACCTCTGCCTTTTTTTTTTTTTAAATAGCACAGGGGTGGGAAGAAGTAGAAAGGAGGGCAAAGGTTGCTAAGTAACTTAAAAACAGAAAGTAAAGTTTGAATATTCCTGAATATTTTCTGAATAATTCAGCTACTATGTGAATGGACGAATTGCTACCAAAGAAGATTTCCTAAACCCTGATATACTGGACACTTTTATTTCATCTGTGCAAAAAACTCTCCAGGTAATAGTCTTTTCTCTCTCTCTCTCTCTCTCTTTTTAATGTTAAACCAAAGTACTTTGTAGTCTAGCTAGTCCTAAATTCTGTGGGTATATAAATTTACATGTTTTTTCAGTTTTAGAGAACAGGCACTAGGTCTTATTTACCTTCAGTTTCCTCCTGTTAGCATTGGGTCTTACTCATGTTTATTGATTAGAAATTAAAAATACTTCCCACAGCCTTTCAGTAGAATAAACTCTCATAGTTTGTAAGAATGGGGTTATTTGCATTCCTTCCACACCTAGTATTCCAATAAAAGTTAACTACCCAAAACCTAAATGACTATGAACATATTTTGTAACTGTATTGGATGATGGGTCTGGGAATGCGAAGTTTTAAATGTGGCGTAATCTTTAGCATCATATTTGGTCCTCTTGCTTGCAATTACTAAGGAGATTTTCTGTTCCATAGGTTGTTGAGGAGACCAGACCCCACAAGAAGGTTTGGTTAGGAGAGACCAGTTCTGCATTTGGGGGTGGAGCGCCCTTGCTGTCCAACACCTTTGCCGCTGGCTTTATGTGAGTGAACCTGCAGTTGTCTCAGGGACCGGATAGTACTCTCCTGTTCTTCTATTCAGCTGAAATAACTCATCGGCCAAAAATCAAAGACAGTTTCTATGGCTGAACTCCAAAATTCATGCCAGATTTTGCAATAAAATGATTTACTAAATTAGTTGGACATCTTTAATGCGTGCCCCAGATTAATCATTGTATGAATGAACTGCTTCAGAAGTTTTGTTCCTTACTTATGGCCCATAACTATGTGAGGCATTCCTTTCTCTAAAGAAGTACATGGTAAAAGAGTGTATCAAGAGCCTTGACCCTGAGGAGGATACGGAGTACTTATAGCTCTATTCATAGATTCTCAAGGCCGTTTAGAACCCGGAAGTAGGAGGTCACACCCGAGGGGCTGCCAATGAGTTTAAAGATTTACTAAATCACCGCCTTGTCCAACCTCCACAAACTTGACTGCTTGAAAACCAACTTGTTTAGTTATATTCTATTACTCGGTTAATGCTCTTAACCTAATGTCTGTATCCTCTCTGGGTTTTATTCTCTTTCCTCTCCTACCCTCATTCTTAGAAGCCCCGAATAAAGCACACATCTTTATCCTTATGTAGGGGCATGAGGAATAGAGAAAAGAGTGGAGGTGTTTGTTTTGCCACTAAATAAAGATGGAGGGGAGTTCCCTGGTGGTCCTGTGGTTAGGACTTTGCCTTCCAATGCAGGGGGTGTGGGTTCAATCAACTGGTCGGGGACCACATGTCTCTAGATCGAAAACCAATCGCCAGTCCAGGTTGGATGCATGAGTCAGGGCGCTCAGGGCTGGTGCCCTGGGATGACCCTGAGGGGTGGGATGGGGAGGGAGGCGGGAGGGGGGTTTAGGATGGAGAACACATGCACACCCATGGCTGATTCATGTCAATATATGGCAAAACCACTACAGTGTTGTAAAGTAATTAGCCTCCAATTAAAATATAAAGAAAAACCAAAGCATAAAACAGAAGCAGTACTATAACAAATACAAAAATTACTTTAAAAATGGTTCACATTAAAAAAAAAATAGGAGGAAAGAAGTGTCCATAGAAGCTTATTATTTTGCATTTCACTGACCACCAGCAACCTTTACTTCTATCCTCACATGGGGATGGAGGTGGAGAGGTTGTGGGTGGGAGGTGGGTTGGCATGGATCCGACAGGATGAAGAATAATTATATATATTGTATAATTGTCTATAGCTGTAGGCTTCTGTGGCTTTATAGACATTGTCCTACCCTGACAGGGACTCCTATGGCATATTAATAGTCTTCAAGAATTTGTTATCATGTAGGAGTGTGAGAGCGCATGAAGAAAAGGATAGTCTCTATTTCATGAAGAAAAGGATAGTCTCTATTTCATCTGAATGTCTTATTCATGACTAATACTACTTTTCTGGTTTTCTGTCAGCTCCTCCCACACAGAAGAATAAATCAGAACAGTATAGAGGTAAAATGGAGTTATTTTGTTTTCCAAATCTGAAGAAAGCTTGGCCTCACTCTGTTCCAGGTGGCTGGATAAATTGGGCCTGTCGGCCAGAATGGGCATAGAAGTGGTGATGAGGCAAGTGTTGTTTGGAGCCGGGAACTACCACTTAGTGGATGAAAATTTTGAACCTTTGCCTGTAAGTGATCATTATTTTCCTGTTATTGTGAGTCAATTAAAGTCTACCTTTTCTGAAGAGTCAATTCTGTCATTAAATTCAGTGCTCTTAGTAAGTAGCCAAACCATGGAAAGGTGGACTGGAAGAAATCTTAGAAGAAACCTGTTGTAACATTTTTGTGTCTCAAGAAATTGAGACCCAGAAATAATGATTTCAACGTGAGTCATTTGGGGTATGGCATGAGATTTTTTAAAAAAGAGGGGTAATTTGAAATTTTATGACTTCAATTTTACATGATAACAAACTTGAATCAACTATTTTGCAAAGTAAATCAAAGTTGAAATTGCCATTAGTATCCAAAGTTTCAAAATGTTTTTATGTCATGAAATCATCATTTATTTAACTTTTAAGATAAGCTAATACCATGTATTTGTTCAGAAATATCACCCTAAGATTGGCTATTTTGTTAATAATCTTCAAGGTATTTCTGAATAGAGTCTCATTTCCACCCTATTTCCAACTACATCTGGTGCTAAATCAGGAACTGTAGCCTTTCATATAAAAGCCACCTTGAAGATATATATATGAATAGCATAGATATAGCTCTGAGAAGTATGACCTTGATTTTTACAGTCTAAAATAGCATTTGAGAATATCTATTTTCTAAGAATAATTCCTACGGGAATTATTTGAACACTATAGGAAAGCTAAGAAAGTCTACAAAAAGCACATGCCAAAATATAAGCTAGGCTTTTGTGGTTTGTAGATATCCCCCTAAAATTGCTTTTAATCTATTGTGGCCCAAGTTCATGGAGCACACTGTTCATAATAAAATTTTTAGCAAAATGTCTTTGTACAAAGGAATCTCTTCCCCAAGTCATTTATAAAATGAGTTAAACCAAGTGTGATCATTTCATTGAACAAATATCCAAAATCTACTACTGGCCATTTCTTAAATGGACCTTGAACAAGGAAGAGAAGTAAATAATTTCTTCACAATGTGCTCTAAATACAGTATCTAGAAATTAGCTACCTTACCCTGTCACTCTTTATACTATTTATAATGTTATCTAAAGCTTCAAACACAAACTTTTGACTTAAGAATTCTTTGTATATATGCTAAATATATTTCTTCTTTAAGGTTTACAAGTCAGCTAGAAAAACGTGGAAGAGTAAATGGTACCATTGACATCTGCAGGATCCTAGGCAATCAGCCTTAAACCTATTGTACATGTCTGTTTTCTTTTGCATAACAGTCCTGGAAGGTGGCAACACAGTTGTCTTAGATTCATTTTTCTATTTATTAATTGTTTAATTGGAGGATAATTTCTTTATAATGTGCTGGTTTCTGCTATACAACAATGCAAATAAATCATAATTTTATATATGTGTGTGTATATATATATCCACTCTCTTTTGAGCCTCCCTCTCCCCTCCCATCCCACCCCTCCAGGTCATCACAGGCTGGACTCCCCCATTTTTCAAATGTTGTTGTTGTTCAGTCGCTAGGTTGTCTCCTGTTCTTTGTGACCCCGTCAACTGCAGCACGCCAGGCCTCCCTATCCCTCACTGTCTCCTGGAGTTTGCTCAAACTCATGTCCATTGAGTCAGTGATGCCATCCAACCATCTCATCCTCTGTCATCCCCTTCTCCTTCTGCCCTCAATCTTTCCCAGCATCAGGGTCTTTTCTAATGAGTCGGCTCTTTGCATCAGGTGGCCAAAGTACTGAAGTTTCAGCTTTGGCATCAGTCCTTCCAATGAATATTCAGCGTGGATTTGTGTTTTTCACACGGGGATGTTCAAATTAAGGGATGCTTATGGGATTTGCTGGAGGTCACACTGTCTTGTTGTTATTCTAAAGAATCCTATACAAATCCTGGCTCTGAACCTGCTTGCTTTCTATCCACCCACCCACCTCCCCTCACAGAACCATGCTAAAGTTATGTCTCTTTTGAAAGCATTTAATTGATTCTTCTCTGTAAAATCTTAAGTCTCCATTGTAAAATCTTAAGCAGAGAAACAAAAGCTGTTTGCCTAGTAAGTCTGCTTTGTCTCAGTTCAAGGGCTTCCCTTGTGGCTCAGCTGATAAAGAATCCGCCTGCAATGTGGGAGACTTGCGTTGATGTATATACATCTAGTGAACTAAAAAATAACTTTCTTATTATGAAAAATTTCAAAGTAGAGAGGAAAATATATGAAGCCCTAATCTTGTCTAATCCATAATCCTACCTATCCCTCACCTCCCACTTACTGAATTACTTCTAAGCAAACCTCAGGTATATCATTTTATCTGTAAGTATTTCAGTATGTTTCTCCTTTGGAAAACATAACACAATATAGTTATCACACTTTAAAATATTGACAGTAACTTCTCAATATCATTAAATATTTAGTCAGTGTTTCACATTTTCCTTACTGTCTCAACTGTTTTTAACAGTTGGTTTATTCACATCAGAATCCAAACAAGGTGCATATATTGCATATATTATGTCTCTTTTTTAAGCATTTGTTATATCTTTTAAGCCTGTTAATCTTTAACTTCTCCCTCCCTCTCTTTTTTTGTCTCTTGGGATTTATTAATTAAACAAACCAGGTAATTTGCTCTATAATGTTTTCCACATTCTGCATTTTACTAAGGTTTTGCAGGCAGTTGTTTTAGTCTGCTCAACAGATAGAAGTTTTTATCTTTCAAACTTGGTTCTGTATGTGTATATGTGTCTGTGAGCGTGTGTGTATCTGAAGTTTTTGCTTTGAGTTTTGAATTCTTGGATGACAGACAACACAGACTATTTAAACTGCCTCTGAGACTATTTAAACTGCCTCTGAGCAATCTCAAGTTGTATTCTTGAGATCTATCTCCTCGCAGACATAGCCCTCTGAATCATGGAAATATAGACCTCTGGTGATGAACAGCAGCAAACAAGATACTGCCCTCAGGTTCACGGTGGCAACACAGACCAAAAGATGAATCCTTCTTAAATACCTCTAGGATAACAATCACACTGTTTGTAGAACAGCTATTTGCTTGACACTGTTTTTGTTAAAAGTAAGTAAAAATCTATTTTTGTCCCACCCCTCCCCAATCACTCCAACTAGGATTATTGGCTGTCTCTTCTGTTCAAGAAACTGGTGGGCACCAAAGTGTTAATGGCAAGTGTGAAAGGTCCAGACAGAAGCAAACTTCGAGTATATCTTCATTGCACAAACATCAACCAGTAAGTGTGTAACACACCCTTTACCAATCAACAAATTTTAATAAGTAAACACACAATTTCCTACTCTAACACCCTGCTGTCTTCTATCTATAGAGTGGGTCTAAGGTGTATCATTGTTCTTTATTTCTTTTCATTCTCATAGTGATATGGTGCCAGAGTCTAGCTTAAAAGAAAAAAGGTTAAATGTAGGCATTTACAGTCCAGCAAAGATTTGACAATGATTTGATTAACATAATACATAATAAAAATATATCCTGAATGTAAATAAAGAATAGTACAAATGTAAGCACATAAAACAGATTTCATATGAATGATTAATCAATTGAATGACTATGGATGAATATAAATATGAATTCATATGAATGAATAATTATGTGACTATACTTATCATTTTGAATCATATCTAATTAATAAAGAAGAAAAATTAAAAGGTGACTGATAACAACTCTCATGTTTTCAAAAGTTTTAACTCAGTTTCTAGAATTGAGAGGCCATAAGAGATTTTTATAGTACAGTACTCTGGCCTTAGGTTGCAAAAAATATTCCTAAGTTTGAGATTTTTCTCATCTTGGTTTCAGTCTGTCTTTCCTGATAGAATAATGCTAAAAATATTTAGCTACAAAGGCTACCCACGGTTTCCAGTTTCATTGAAAGGGAACTCTGTTTCTGGTGAGTGGCCCCATTAGGAATGGTGGGGAATGGTTTAGGTGGATAAATTCTGTAAAATGTCAGTAGATTTAATTTTCTTATTTGTGTCAGTCTTTTCATAAGGTTAGAAAAAGTCTTGGTTTATATGGTTTATCATATGAATTCATGTGAACCCACAAAATTTCCCTTTTACCATTTAACTTTCCTAAGTTTGAACATGTATGAGCTGACTGACTTCCTCACAAGTCGGTCTGGCAAAGCAGCAAAGATCGCAAAGTGCTGAAGCCCAGGCAATTGTTGTGTAAAGAGCAATAGTTTCATCACGTTTTCCAAACAGGACCACATCAGCAGTCTGATATTAGCATAACTGGAAGATACAAAGAGGGTGCAGCATCACTATAAATACTAAATACACTTCGTATTATCCATGATTATATTGTAACCAACTACTTAATTGCTTAAATTAAATAAACACTTTTATTGAGTTCATGTATTTGCTTTTAGCCCAAGGTATAAAGAAGGAGATTTAACTCTCTATGCCTTAAACCTCCATAATGTCACCAAGCGCTTGCAGTTACCACATCCCTTATTTAACAAGCAAGTGGATAAATACCTCATAAAACCTTCAGGACCCGATGGCTTACTTTCCAAGTGAGTAATTTTCTTGGTTCATTTCAAACTTTCACCTAAAGTGAATTTTCTTGGTGTTTGTCAGAATACTGTGTGTTGACAGGGAGTAAAAGAAAAAACTCAACTATTTCAAGTTCTAACAATTCTTAATATTCAGGAAGTTATATGTGAATACACACTAATACAGGTGTAACTCATTCGGAGAATCAAAGCAGAAGGATGGGAAGACAAAATGGCAGTTATCGTACAGAAATGTTTTCATTTCAAAACAACTTGATATATATCAGGATCCACTCAATGCATTTAGATTATTTGCTCCAAAAAAATAATCCTTGGTAATGCAGTCACTAAAGCAAAAATACCTGTATGTAATTGCTATATAAAGGCATAGGAGTTGGTATAAAATATCATGTGTCATGGATGTGATTCTCTTACAGTATCAGAATAGTTTGTTATTGGTTAGAGTGAAGAAAAAGAGTGGTCAGAAATGTGCCTTTTAAGTGAACTATTTAAAATTGGTTCTTAAACATTTTACTTTCAAAAGCCCATGATTGAATATGTCTTAAAAAGCCTATAGTCAACAGAATACCCAAGGGACTTCCCGGTGGTCCAATGGTTAGCACTCCATGCTCCCAATGCAGGGGGGCTGTGTTTAATTCCCGGTCAGGCAACTAGATCCCATATGCTGCAACTAAGAGTTTGCATGCCATAACAAAGACTGACGATCCTGCATGTGCAAATAAAGGCACAGCCCAATAAATAAATATTTTTATAAAACCAGAATACCCAAGAATGAGTTAGGCACAACAGATATTGTAAGATTTCTGTCCAGTGTGTGTTGGAAGGAGCTCTTCTCTTCATGGCTGTTCTCACACTGTGTGTGTGTGTGCTCAGTTGCTCAGTTGTGTCTGACTCTTTGCCACTCCGTGGGCTCTGGCCCGCCAAGCTCCTCTGTCCGTGGGAACATCTCGGCAAGAGTACTGGAGTGGGTTGCCAGTTCCTCCTCTAGTGGGTCTCCCATCTCGGCAAATGCTCTATGAGTTGTTTTCAGTGACAGCATCAGAACCTGAAAAGTGTCATAAATATGCTTTCAACAAAGTCCCATCCCCACAGACAAGTATTATTAACTCTGGATACCATTCTATGATTTTTTTTTTCCTGTCCCTTATTTTACTATATATAACTGTAATCATACAACTTCTAATAGGAGAAATTGAAGGAGAACCCACAAGTTTTCCCAAGTATCTTTCCATCTATAGTCTTTGTAGACATTTTAATGGGCTGCATGTTTTATAAAATACCATGGTTTACTTGTTCATTTTCCTACTTTTTTTTCCCATACTTTTTTCCCCCTGTTATAAATAATGTATATTTGAATAACAGATAGTTCTCTCTTTGGGGATCTTGACACTTTTTAAAGTTCTTATCCTATTTGTGTCTGAGGCAGAGAAGGGAAAAACTTCTCTGAAGTAACTAAATAATAGTTGTAGAGTTAGATGTATCTTAAGAGGGACTTCGCTGGTGATCCAGGGGTCGAGACTCTGTACTCCCAATGCAGGTGTCACAGGATCAATCCCTGGTTGGGGAACTAAGATCCTGAGTGGCACAGCAAACAACAAAGTCTTAGAGATCATTTTAGTCTAGCCTTAGATGGGTATCTAAGGCCATTCAGCCCTGTTTGTTTCCTCTCTGTTGGATCTCACAGCCTCTGCTGGTGACTGTGGCAAGGATACGGTAAACCTCTCTGCCTTTCATCTGCTGCTCTTAGTTCTATTCTCTGGAGCAGATGGAATCTACACCTCATGCCTATGGACAAGTGGGTTTAGAGGATTTTTTTTTTTTCTCTTTCTGGTAGGGGAGGGTAGCATACACTCTGTGTTAATTTTTATTTCCAATTAGGTGTCAATGTTGTAAAAATTGACAAGTATTAAATACCTGGATTTCTAGCTTTTCTTTGAAAATAAGTGCTCTGGCAACTCTGGGGTGTTTTCCCAATTCGATGGAGCTGAACTGGGATTATTCACTTTAGACAACACATCCAGCTCTGTTCCCCTTAGTCCCTATGTGACCCTGCTGTCATAGGCCTGTCTTACTGCTGGTACATGTTGCTTCCTTGACCCCGAGGGCATTTGGGTTTGCCACTCTTAATCTGAAACAACACAGAATGCTCTGTTTTCTCCAGAATAACTCAAATATTTGAAGGACAACTGGACTGTCTTCTCTCCAGGCTCAATATGCCTAGTTTTTTCAGTGACTCTTCTCTTTGCTGTATTTACCAGACCCTGTTGCATTATGATCATATATTTCATGCTTTATACTTGGAAAACTGGTGAAATTGTGGACATTGTTGTATTACCCTAAGTTCTCTTTGATGACTATATATTACTTATATTTTTCTCTCTTTAAATATCTGTAAAGAGAGATATTTTATCTCTCTTTAAAATGTCACAAAAGTATCCCAGATAGGTTTAATGAATGCACAGTTTGCACACATGCTCATGCTAATGACCTCAGGGGGTTAAATAGTGATCACCTTTAAAAAGTTAGTTTTCACTTAAATAACTTGAATAGTGCCCATAGAAGGTCCTGTATCATAACTATTTAATAAATACTTGAACTGAATATACATTAACATAAAAGCAGTATTTTATAGTCATCTCAGATGAATTTTGCCCACTGTCTCCAATTCTACCAAATCTGTTGCTTGCTAATTCCTTCCATCTCTATTTCATCTGAAACTTGACAAGCATGTCTTCTATTTCTTGTCACCATATTACTATCTTAGAAATAGGAAATAAGATACTACCTTCAAATAAAACCCTACCGTTATTGGCCAGCCCGATGAGGACATATTCTGCATGCTTTAAGCTTATACTCAGTATACTGATAACATCCTTTAGCTATATTCAGAGCTGATTAAACAGTATAGACAGGTAGATTAGGTATTATCTTGCCCATGTTTCATCTTAACCCAGAGCAGCATTAATTTACAGTGATCAGACTTACCTTTAAACATTGTGACCTCTCCTAAAGACTTTCTGAAACTTTTTTGTGTACCCTTGTCACAGTCCTCAATCTCTTGCAGAAGAGCTCTAACTATCACCATTTAGAGATGTTGTCAAGACCTATTTTTGTTTGTGGTTTCCTGATGGTGGTCATGGTGCTTCCTCCTCCACCCCTTGCAGGAAGTGCTGTGATATAGGTGCTGAGACAAAGCTCGGGTGCATGTGAGCTGAGTGTAACTGCAATGCAGGCTTGTTAGCCTTCAGCACAATTATGGTTATCTTATTACATCTTTTGGAGAAGGCAATGGCACCCGACTCCTGGAAAATCCCACAGATGGAGGAGCCTGGTAGGCTGCAGTCCATGGGATCGCTAAGAGTCGGACACAACTGAGCGACTTCACTTTGACTTCTCACTTTCATGCATTGGAGAAGGAAATGGCAACCCACTCCAGTGATATTGCCTGGAGAATCCCAGGGATGGGGGAGCCTGGTGGGCTGCCATCTATGGGATCACACAGAGTCGGACACGACTGAAGTGACTTAAGCAGCAGAATTACATCTTTAGGTACAGAGCCCACAACTGGACATTTAAGCAAGGATTAATGGAAACTAATTTCTCTGCTGATTGATACTTAGTAAGGATACAGTGTGAGAGATCTTTAAAAATGAAAACTTTATAATAATGCTACATTGGAAACAAACAAGTGTCTAACACTAGACAATTCAGTAAATAAACTAATATGCTGGTACAATGGAATCTTGTGCAGTCATTAAAATGATGCAGTGGATGAATGTTTAATGGTGTGAGCAAATGTTAGGAAATGTTAAGGGGAAAAGAATCAAGTTTTAAGAGACTATATACTGTATGCTTATTTTTGTCCATATGAAAATATGTATGTTCATACATACATAGAAAAGAGATTAAGCAATATACATCAAAATCTTAAAAATGGTTATGATGAGATAGGTTGCTTCTGTTATATTTATTTATCTGAATAATAAAGATGATGATAGATAATACTTTTACATACTTATATGTACAAGGTGCTGTTATAAATGTTCTACATATAATATATGTATTACATGTATGACATAAACTTTGGTATTAATCTAAATATTCAACAATAAAAAACTTTTTTGTTATAAAAATTTCATAATATAAAAACCATTTAAGAAAAAGATAAAAGAGATAAAAGTATCACTTAGAATTATGGAAGTATCAATAAAACTAAAAGTAGACTAAAGCTTTTCTTCCTCAGCTCTTACTTATATAAGATTTGTTGCCATAAGAATATATTTTGCTATGTTTAGTTGTTTCAGTCGTGTCTGACTTTTTGTGATCTCATAGATTGTAGCCCACCAGACCCCACTGTGCATGGGATTCTCCAGGCAAGAACACTGGAGTTGCCATGCCTTCTTCCAGGAGATCTTCCCAACCCAGAGATGGAACATTGCATCCCTGGGTTGCAATCTCCCACATTGCAGGTGGATTGTTTGCCATCTGAGCCACCAGGGAAGCCCAAGAATATATTAATTTGATTTCAATAATAATAAATATATGTAACACTTGTCCTTGATTTTTTTCTATTTTTTGACTCAGTTTTTAATTTAGATTTTGATAGTGAGATGCAAAGAAAACATAATTATTTTTTTAAATCTGTGGTTTAGCTAAAGAAAATCATTTTTCTTCACCGCAGCAATATATACTCTACCAAAGCAGATTAACAGCTTAAGAAAATGAATATATACCTCCTGGGAGACAGGGAGTAAGAGGGTTTACAGATATAGTTACAAGTGGGAAATTGACAATCATTTTTGTATATTAAATTCATGCAACTCACATTCTATCCTATATATTTGCTTCATATATAAATGTTTACAATTACTAACCACCCCCCCCAAATGCCACAAATCCAGACGTATGTCATCTTCATCCTTTTTACACCTCTGTCATCTTGCCTAGTATGGACTGTGTGTGTTTCATTTTCTGTAAAGTGCCGGACAGTAAATATTTGGGGGCTCTGCAGACCACATGGTTTCTGTCACATCTGTTCAGCTCTGCCCGTGTAGCTTAAAGGTCATCTCGGCCAAATACCTATGTGACATAGTGTTCAAATACAAGTTATATAATATAACCTGCCACAGAAAAAAAGCTGGGCCTTAAAAAGTTCTCAGGACTTTTATAGAGTAGATGGAAGATGTACAGCTTGGCTAACCTGGACACATCTTTCCCCTTTGCAGATCTGTCCAGCTCAATGGTCAAATTCTGAAGATGGTGGATGAACAAACCCTGCCAGCTTTGACAGAAAAACCTCTCCGCCCAGGAAGTTCACTGGGCATGCCACCTTTCTCGTATGGATTTTTTGTGATAAGAAATGCTAAAGTTGCTGCTTGTATCTGAAAATGAAAGACATGTACTAGCCTGGAGATTGAACTTTTGAGTGTATTGATAAGAGGAAAGCAAAATTCAAACTATAGGAGGGCGAGCAGATATATTACAGACCAACGGGTGGGAGATTTCAAGTCCTTGGGAGACACTCAGTATGAGATTTAGCACAGAATTATGTCCTAAGTAGACCCCTGCTAATAATAAGCCAATGCCAAACACCATGCTTATATTTTTGCATGTACTATTTTAAGGTTATTAAAAATGTACATAATATAATACAGCCAGGAGGCAAGTATGTGAAGGATATATTATTAGTTTCAAGAAAGTATTTAGTTGTTTTTATTTAAAATAAAACAGTTACTAGAAAACTGTCAGATTCTTCCCTCCATACGCTATCTCTATGGGCTGCTATAGAAAAAGTTTACTATCACAAACTCCAAATCGTCTATGAAAGAGAGACAATCTCTTTGCATCTTAACAGAGAGCTGAGTTCAGTTGCTGTTTCTCTTCACTGTTCTGTTTGTCAGTAATACCATGTGAGAAGACAGATGGCTAGATGTGACAGTATTTTTTAAAAAGTTTAATGACAATTCAGAGGGAAGGGATTATATACACTTCAAATGAAATAAAAAATGACTGCAAATGAAATTGATTTACCAGGAGGAGAAAATTTAACTCCATACATTACAACCATTTGTTCATGTTTACCTCTGTTAATCACTCAGTTGTGTCCAACAGACTCCATGGACTGTAGCCCACCAAGCTCCTCTGTCCATGAAATTCTCCAGGCAAGAATACTGGAGTGGGTAGCCATTTCCTTCTCCGGGGAATCTTCCCAACCCCGGGATCAAACCCAGATCTTCCTCATTGCACGCAGATTCTCTACTCTCTAAGCCACCAAAGAAGCCCCATGTTTACCTTTAATTTACCTTAAATTCTTATTTTAGTTGGCTGCAAGTAACAGAAAACCTTGATTCCAGGGGCTTAAACCACCAGACATTCGTAATCCCACATAATGATAAGTTCAGGTTGGGTGAGCTCCACTGCTGAAAATGTCACCAAAGAAACAGGTTGCTTCTCTGTCTCTGCTCTGTCACCAGCTTCATTCTCAAGATAGCAGCACAATGTCTGTAGCAATTCCATGGGCCCAGTCAGACCTGGCAGTAGTCAGAGAAAGATGAGCCATTTTTTTCTGTCTTCTTCACAGACTTTTGAACTTCTCAGAGGTTCTCTCAGCAAACCCCTCTTCCTGTCTCCTTGGGTCATATTAGCCAAGAGGGGGTTGCATAGCCATTGTCCCCAGCTGCCAACATCAATGAGATTCCTCCAATTGTCTCCTAATAATCTTTTGGAATGGAGGGGGTGTTGAGAAGTTTATGACACTGACCACTACAGATCCCTGCTTTTATCAGTAACAGAATGTATTATTTTCTCCTGTGTCTTAATTCTAAGAAATATAAGTCTCTTTATATTTATGCCTGCTATGAATAGTGTCTCATTTAAGAACATTTATAAGGAACTAAAACTGGTACCTAAAGTTTGGATGCTTTAATATCCTTAAATTTTATATATCAGTGGTTTTTATATTTTCACATTTGAAATAAAGTAAGTTTGTAACCTAATATTACAATGATTATTCTTTTAATAAAGCATAAGCCTTCAGATCCCCTGTTTCCTTCACTACTTTGTTTATACCCCGACCTTTGTTTGTCCTTTCCGCCTTCCCTACACCAAGAGTTGACCTTGAAGAAAAGAGATCATCAGGCACAAACATAATATCCTCCCTCATCATGGAGACTGGATCATGATCAAAGTTCAATCCAGTCTATTTTTCTTCTCCCTGTCCCCTCTGCCACTTAATAAATCCAAGGCCCAATTTTCCACTGGTATTGTAACAATCTACTAATTGGTCTCCTTGACTTTGCTTAAAATTCTTAAAATTTTAATTGGCTTAAAATGTGCTTAAAAATTAAAGTGGCTCTCTGTTCCCTTAGCATATAGGTCCTTCCATAACCTGGCACCTGCTGTTTTCTTTGGCCTCGATTCTTATTGATTACCCAGTGAATTCTGTTCTCCCGCCCACACACCGGTTGAGCGATCCGGACAAACTGCCTCTTTCACCCTTTGCTTCTGTACCTCTAGTGCTGCTCCTTCTTCTCTCCATCTGGACTCTTCTAACCTTCCTCTCTAACTTTTATGTTTATTAAGACTCAGGGTCTTCCCTGGTGGTCCAGTGGCTTAAGACTCCAACCTCCCAATGCAGAGGGCCCAGGTTCAATCCCTGGTCAGGGAATTAGATCACACATGCTGCAACTAAAGAGCCCACGTACGTGCTAAGTTGCTTCAGAGTCGTTGTGTCCAACTCTGTGCGACCCTATGGACTACATAGCCCACCAGGCTCCTCTGTCCATGGATTTCCCAGGCATGAATTCTGGAGTGGGTTGCCATTCCCTCCTCCAGGGCATCTTCCCCACCCAGGGATTGAACCCACATTTTTGTGTCTCCTGCATTGGCAGGCGAGTTCTTTACCACTAGTGCCACCTGGGAACCCCCAAAGATCCCACACGTCACAGCAAAGATTGAAGATCCCCTGTGCTGAAGCTAATACCTGGTGCAGCCAAATAAATAATATTTTAAAAAGAGAAAAGACCCAGCTCAAACAGCAGTTTCAATGCCTCCCCTATCATCTGAGTAGCTTTAGTCATATTTCTTTGCTCCCTATAGCAGTTTAGACATTTATTTTTGTACAGTTGATGACAGTCCACTAGTTTTTAAATTAGTTCTCAGGTTACTTTATTAAATGCAACTTACATGTTTATTTACATTCCCATAGACCTGTCAAAGGACACTAACAAAGCTAGTTTACCTGAAACTGCAGCACAACAAACTTAATAAGGCAAATCTGCATATTTAATGTAATATTTCTAAACACACCTTAAAAAAATTTAAAACACAATTTTAAAAAATTCTTATACATCTAAAATAAGTCACACAAAAATTTAGTAGATCAAGTTCCCTAAGCATTTAAACACCTATATAAACACAAAACCTATATAAACCTATATAAACATAATTTGTACAAAAATGTCATTTTCTCATGCCAAAGTTACAAATTTACTATCCTAGCCAGAGTTAACAGAATTACCAGTTCAGGGCCTCTTTACCAAGTATGGTAACAATTAGCATTTGATTAGAGAATCTAGAAACAGGATATGGAACCACTTAGCATGTTGGGTTCAACCCCTTCCTATGCTTAGATAGCAGATGTTGGGGTCATCTAAAGCAAAGTCTGAGACAAGGACTTGGGGTCCAGTAGTTTATTTGGGAAGTCAGGAAGCAGGCATGAGAGATCAGGGAGAGTGAGATGGAGGAAAAGGAAAAGCCAGTATTGAGATTTGTTGTTGAATTTGCTGCAATAGGCAATTAGAGTTCAGTTCCACCAGTACCACTGAGAAACATGGATGCCTTTCATAATTTTCCTCTTATTATTCTCATGTTTCTTAGCAGCTATCATTTCATACTCACTTTATTGTCAATTATAATTTTCACAAAGAACATCTGCTTCACATAAAATAGTTTTAAGGCCAAAGTGAAAGTGATTAGGAACTCTTCCGACAGGAGCCAAGGGAAAGACATACAGAGAAAGTGTGAAAACAGGAAAAAAGAAATTATCTGGCTATCACTTGAAACTTTTTTTGTGACTCGTTATCCTTAGTATTTTGATCGCCTAACCCTGAAGTAGCTACCAACGAAAGTGACTGAGCACGTATGCACGTATGCATTTAGACCACCGCAGCACAGAATCACATCAGTCTAATAACCTCCTTGTTTAATTAATTTAACAGAACACATGGAGGAGGATGGTTGTGTGATTAGGAGGTACTCTCTGGCAATGCTGACCCTTGGCCTAAACATCATACCTGTCCCCCAGACACCCTATGAAGACCCACATCCCCAAAGAGTACCCTTATCCTAGGGCCAGTGCATCCTTAGAAGCTCTTTATTGTCCTCCACTTAATCAGGGTTGCAAGAACGCCTGCCCCTCTGTAGCAGATCCCAACTGGCAAAATATTGTAATGTTTATAACTGGCAGAGGACAGGTAGGAAAAGTCCACCTTAGATGGCTAGACCAGCAAAGGCAGTCACTTTAGAATGTACCTCATCCCCAGAGGCAGGCATATAAACGTTTACCTGAAGTGCTTATCTGCCTGTCTATTTGTTTTGGCTGCAAATGAATGGCAGTCTCTGGGTTACTATTTATCACTGGCCCCCAGTTAGATGTCCTTAACAGTGAGCTCATCTGTTTCCAGCTTCTGAAAGAGTAAGTTGCAAAGCCAGTTGGAACAAGTACGATTCAGCATGCTACTGCTCTCTCGTCCTTGGGGCATGTCTTTTATTTTCACAGAAAATGTCCTAAGCTGAATCTAGTGACCTGATTGCAAACACTTGACTGTTTGTCTGTTTCTTTAAGAAAGGAAGAAGTTTATGCAGGTTTATTTTTTATTAGGACTAGAATGGCTATACCTTTAAGTCCTCCTCTGACTTCTATATACATATCCATGTATATATAACATTTATATATGGCACATATATTTACAAATATTTATATAATATTGTCATATAAGAAAAAGATTTGATTTTTGCCCCCAGTTCTTGGCATAACATTCCTGAAACCGTTAGAATTTCCTGAGTGGTAAGAGTGTCTTATCTCATTCATAAGGAACTCCCTTTGAGCACAGCAAAATTTATACTAAAGAGGGGACTTTTAGAAGTGATGGTGTTAATCACTCAGTTGTGTCTGACTCTACGTAACCCCATGAAGTGTATGTAGCCAGGCTCCTCTGTCCATGGAATTCTCCAGACAAGAATACTGGAGTGGGACGTCCTGAAGGATGGGGGCTAGTAGCAAGAAGAACTAACCACCTGCTAGTGAGTTGGAAATTTTACTCCCACTCAGACCTCCAGAGGAGGCAAAAGGACAAACGACTGAGTTCAGTCATCAACGGCCAGTGATTTTGTCTATCATGCCTATATGATGAGGCCTCCATAAAACCCCAAAGGAACAGAGTTCAAGGGCTTCAGGGTCAGGAAACACATGGTGGTGACGGGAGAGTGGTATCTGTCTAGAGAGAGTGGAAGCTCTGTGCTTGCCCTATTCATCTCTTCCATCTGGCTGTTTCATAGTTATGTTCTTTTATTGAAAAAAGAAAAAAAAGCAAAACTGATAATTGGTGAGTGAAACGTTTTCCTAAATTCTCTGAGTCACTCTAGTAAATTAATCTGGGTCTTGGGAACCTCTGATTTATAGCTTGTGTGACAATGGCAAATGCATGCATTCTCAGTCATGTCTGACTCTTTGCAACCCCATGGACTGCAACCCACCAGGCTCCTCTGTCCGTGGGATTTTCCAGGCAAGAAATACTGGAGTGGGTTGCCATTTCCCACTCCAGGGGATCTTCCTGACCCAGGGATCAAACCTGTGTCTCTTGAGTCCCCTGCGTTGGCAGGTGGATTCTTTTACCACTGTGCCACCTGAGAGCAAAATTTATCACCCCAAAATATGTCTCTTTGGCATGAGGATTACTGTAGACTGGTTGTTTTTTTTAAAAAAAAAAAAATGGATCAGGAAGAGCTTTTACCTCCTTCCCTCTCCAACTGCCTACAAACTGGAGAAAGAGGATATGTTCCAGGAAGGGAGCTATCACCATAGATAAGTACAGTACAATGTGAGCTAGGTTTGGTAGACAGGGAAGAACCTAAAAAAATCTGTTTGTTAAAATTCTCTCTGGGGAACTCCCTGGCTGTCAAGGGGTTAGGACTTCAGCTTCCACTGCAGAGGCCACAGGTTCAATCCCTGGCCAGGGAACTAAGATCCCACAAGCCATGCAGCATGACCAAAATAAAATAAAAATAAATAAATAAAACTTCATTTAAAAAACATTCAATGAAAAAAATAAAGTTCTGTGTCCTATTATTTCTACATGGCCCAGCAAATATTTTTTTATCAAACATTTGCTCTTCTCATTCTCTCTGTGAAATATCTTCTTTCTCTTTGAAGTCCCAGGCCCCTACCCCCTTCTCTTTAGTCCAGGAGATCATATATACCTCATTTTACCTGACTGTCTCTGGGGGCTCTCATGTTAGGATTCCTCCTACAAATGTAATTAAATTTTACTTTCTCTTATTAATCTGTCTCATGTCAATTAAGTCTGAGACTAGTCAAAAGAATCTAGAGAGGCAGAGGAAAACTTTTTTCCTCCCCAACAAGGATAGGTCAGAAGCACAGGTAACAATCTGGACTTTTGATGGGCTTCGTTGGTTGCTCAGAAGGTAAAGAATCCACCTGCACTGAAGGAGACCTGTGTTCGATACCTGGGTTGGGAACATCCCCTGGAGAAGGAAATGGCAACCCACTCCAGTATTCTTATCTAGAGAATTTCATGGAAGGAGGAGCCTGGTGGGTTACAGTCCATGGGGTCCCAAAGAGTCAGACACAACTGAGCCACTTTCACTGAAAGGGGGCTAGCACCAATCTTATAGGACTCAGCCTAAAACCTGTGGGAGCTGATGCAAACTCCAGCTAGAGAGCGCCAGAATTGAGTAAAATTTCAGGACACTTGGGTGTTGCAGAAGCGTTTGATGTGTGGAAAATCCACACGTCTGGTGTCACAAGTCATATGGTGCTGTAGTTGAGAATAAATAGGTACGGGAGAATGTTTTTTCCTTTACAAATATCGAATAAAATTTCCCAGTGCCTGGATCCTGCTGTCTACAATTGAACAGAGTGTTCGGTATGGAAGCCCTTTCACATTCATTATGTTTCTTCTTTCCCATAATGCTGGAAGGAGGAGAAGGGGAAGACAGAGGATGAGATGGTTGGATGGCATCACCGATTGGATGGACATGAGTTTGAGCAAGCTTCCGGAGTTATTGAACTAGTTGTGAACTAGTTTCCTAAATTTATTAAGGACTATTTCCTAGGCCACCATCACTGGAGACTCAAGATATCACTGAATTACTGATCGGGGTTTTAAAGATAAGCACTTAAAGACTAAACTAATTCCCTAGAACACTAAAATTCAAACGCGAGACTTGCCCACAGTCACTCAGTAATGATTAAATGGGCTAATACATGTAAAGTGCCTGTCAGGGGGCCTGGACTCAGCGCCCCCCCAGGAGTTGACTAGGAGAAGTGCTCAGACCAGATATTCCAGCAGCAAGCTCACAGGACCCCATACACTCGCTGCCTCTGGGTTATACGAACTCTGAATTGACTATCAAATTTAAGGTTTTCATTTGCGCAATGAATGTCCCTTAACCCTGAATATGGCTTTTGGCCGCTTGGTGACCTTTTAGCTTTGAAAAGGAAACCGTTGCTACTGCAAACCAGTATTGGGCTTCAGTAGATTTTTCTCAGGTGGTTTTATTTTACTTTTCCCTATAATAACTGCTACGTATTTTGATACCAGGAATTCCTTTCTCTGAGGAATTTCTTTCTCTGAGGAACTCCTTCACAGCGCTAGGTGACCGCGACACGTTCCATTTCACGTTACTCGAAAGGTTCAGGCAGGCCACTGGTCCGTGGGGCCGGACAGACGCGGACGGTCATCCCGCTGACGTCACCGCGCAGCCTGCCGCTGACCTGACGCTGGGGAATGACGTCAGGCCCCTGCGGGTCCAGGCTCTCCCGAGCGCCATGCTGGGCGCGGGCACCGCGGGACTCGCGCGGGCCCTGCGGGCTGGCACGCAGGCATGGCTGTGGGGCGCGCGCGGCCGCTCCCTGGCCCTGGTGCACGCGGCCCGCGGGCCCCACGCGGCGGACTGGCAGCCGTCGGCCGGGCGGGGGCCGCGCAGGCGTCCGCTGAGCCTGTCTGCAGCCGCGGTCGTGAACTCGGCGCCCCGCCCTCTGCAGCCCTACCTGCGCCTCATGCGGTTGGACAAGCCCATAGGTGAGTGCGGACGGACGCGGCGGTCCGGGGGCCGCGGGCGTCGAGAAAATGAAGCCCGAAAGCCGCGGCTTGGCCTCCGGGTGCTCGTTACCCTCGAGAAACCCGAACAGGGCGATCTCCGAAGTGCCCGGCCGGCTGTCACGCCTCCCTGAATCCTGAGCACCGGAGCGGAGCAGAAACTCCCCTCACTCCACAGACCGTGTTCGTAAGTTGTGAAGCGAGCGGAAATTCCGTGCCCGCATCCCTGCATTTGCGCAGATTTACAGTTTGCAAGCACTTCCACATTCATTTTGTTTCATCTTTCCCATAATGCTGCAAGGCCCCCACAGCAAATGCAGAGGAAACCAAGGCTGTTTGGAGAGCCAGACCGGGTGATGCTGAGTTTCTTAGCTCTTTGCCCTACACTGTTTGTAGCACAAAGATTTAATTCATTCGAATGCTGCAGGCTTTGCACTTGTGTACTACTTATCAGCTCACGGTCGCCTCCTAAGGGAGGATTTCCTTGAATTTTCTGTGTAACGTATTCACCTTTCACTTCATTCTCGCTCTTTACCTCTCATTTTTCTTCATAACCTTCGCCGCTAGCCTTATACATTTATTGGTTGATACACTTTTCCAATACAGCATAAACTCCACCTATATGGGACTTTTATTTCTAATGTCTAGAAGAGCCTGGCAGTAATATTGAAAGATTGAAGTCCTACAGCATCGCCTAGCCTTAGGGATAGAAAGAGCTGGGCAACTTTGTCCTTTCAAAGAACTCCCAGTCTGGTTAAAAAAAAAAAGTATTGGGTGAGTTGGGAAAGTATGGGATCAAATATAAGTGATACAGATAGTAAGTACAGCAGGAAAAGAGTAATTATTGTGAATCTTCATTGCTGGAAAAAGTTGAGAAGAAAGTGTACCTCAAAGCAGTGGTCCCCAACATTTTTGGCATCAGGGACTGGTTTTGAGAAAGACAGTTTTTCCCAGTGTTGGGGGTTGTGGGGAGAGTGGTATGGTTTGGGGATGATTCAAGTGCATTTTGGGCTTCCCTGCTGGCTCAGCTGGTAAAGAATCCAGCTGCAGTGTGGGGACCTGGGTTCCATCCCTGGATTGGGAAGATCCCCTGGAAAAGGGAAGGGCTACCCACTCCAGTATTCTTGCCTGGAGAATTCCATGGACTGTTTAGTCCATGGGGTCGCAAAGAGTTGGACACAGCTGAGCGACTTCACTTCGCTTTTCAAGGGCATTACACTTATTGTGTACTTTATTTCTATAATTCTGACATCAGCTTCACCTCAGGTCATCAGGCATTAGATCCCAGAGATTGGGGACCCCTCCTCAAAGGACAGGTAGATCTTGCAGAGGAGGAAAGAGTTCCTCATTGGTGGGGGAATTATTTTTGCAACGACTCAAGGGTAGAGGGTTGGTACACTAAGGATATAAGCTCGTCTGGAACCCCAGTTGAGCATAGAGAATAGTGGGCTTAAGGCTGGTTAAGAGCTGGATGGAATAAGAATAGACAGAGGAGAGGGAGGGGTGGAGGTTGAACTCTAGGTAATCTGGCTGACGGCATGTACTATTGCAGTGGATGGTAAATACATTCAAATGCCTAGATATAGTCGTGCCACCTTTGCTCAGCTAAGACCCCCAAATTAGGCCTTGTTTTTTGTATTCTAGATTTATGCACTATCATTTGAGATCAGAGCACTAAGCATTTATAACAGTCAGCAATTAAAGTGTAAAAGTCAATTAAATGATAGGCACAGTCCTGCCATCATGACCCATGAGGTTTTGGGGCCAGATTCAAGTTGATAGGCATAAAATTTTAAGCCTAGTTCTAACCTGGAGCCTAATCGTTGTTATTCTGTTGTTGGGATCTATGTCACAGAGCCGTAGTGTAGGCTTATGGGCATCTAATATCAGCAACTGCTCTAAGTCCCATTTCCATAAATCTCTGGCTTCTCCCTTAGAGGCTGGACCACATAATAAGACTGTAAAGAGTTTATGTATGAGTAAAACTCTAGAGCCAGACTTCTTTGAGTCTTCACTCTGCTCACTTGAGGGACCTCTGGTAAGTTACTTTACCCCTCTGGGCCTTCATGTCTCATCTGTAAAATGAAAATACTAAGAATACTGACTTTGTAAAGTTGTCCTGAGAATTCGTTAATAAGTGTCAAGTCCTTAGAACAGTGCTTGACATAATAAATGCACGAGAATGTTAGCCATTACTTGAGAAATTGGAATTGGAGAAGATTGGGTAAATAGTATTAGGTATGTTAGGAGGATACCTGCCTGCTTGCTTTGGTTCTAAATAAGATGACTGTAGGACTTTTCAGACAACCTAGTAACAGTCTCAGTACTGTGCTGTGTGCTAAGTCGCGTCAGTCATGTCTGACTTTTTGTGAACCTGTAGACCGTCGCTGCCAGGCTCCTCTGTCTATGGGATTCTCCAGGCAAGAATACTGGAGTGGATTGCCATGCCCTCCTGCAGGGGATCTTCCCAACTCAGGGGTCGAACCCAGGTCTCTTAATCTCCTGCATTGGCAGGCAGGTTCTTCACCACTAGCCCCACCCGGGCAGTCTCAGTACTATTAGAATTCATTCAGCAAGCATTTTTTTGAGCCCCTGCTGTTTGCCAAGAGTAATAGATTGACAGTAGTAGAATTCCAGATTTGATTTTTCTTTACTTAAATTCTTCTGTGGGTATTATGTGTATGGTTTTATAATTTTGTTTATTTATTTTTGACCGAGCTGGGTCTTGGTTGCTGCGTGGGTCTTTCTCTAGTTGCAGCGAGCAGGGCCTTCTCTCTGGTTGTGGTGCGTGGGCTTCTCACTGTGCTGGCTTCTGTTGTTGCAGAGCACAGGCTCTAGGCCCGTGGACTTCAGTAGTTGCAGCACGTGGGCTCAGTAGCGGGAGTTCTCGGGCTCTAGAGCACAGGGTCAGTAGTTGTGGCGCACAGGCTTTGTTGCTCTGTGGCATGTGGGATCTTCCTGGATTAGGGATCGAACCCATGTCTCCTGCGTTAGTAGGCGGATTCTTTACCACTGTGCCACCAGGGAAGCCCCTATGTGTGATGTTTTAATTTGCTGAAGTTTGCTCTTGTTAAAAAGTGGGTTTCACTGTTTTTCAGAAGGGATTACAACTTCCTACAACCATGTCACAGACTCCATTATTTCAGGAGGTTTCAGCAGGTGGCGCTCTTTCCACTAAATTGGTGGTATAACTGGTTTTACTGCATTAGTGGCTGTTGTGTTGTCTTGAAGAGAGTGTCTATTAGTACATGAATCTTAGACTCAGTTTATACAAGTTCTCTGGTCCACTCATCACCTTTCAGAATGCTTGCTCAATTTGTTTGTAATTTCCCAGAGAGTTTTTACTTTTTCTTTTTTTAAAAAAATTTTATTGTGGTAAAAGTCACATAACATAAATCATACTATTTTAACCATATTTAACTGTACAGTTCAGTGGGACTAAGTACAGTCACATTGTTGTGCAGAAAGCTTTTACTTTTTCTGTAATGAGTATATCTTTCTAAAACCTATTTGTATCCTCACTATCTTTCTTCATGGGAGAGAACAGAAAATGTCATGTTGATAATCAGTCGCTAAAGTGTCATAGGGAAGGCAAAAACACAATGCTGAGTATCAGGAGGGAAAAAGGAAAAAAAAGAATTTATGGTTATGTAGAGATTTAGACATCCAGAGTGATAGTCTGGAGGCAAACTGCCTGGACTTGAATTCCAGCTACACTGAATTCTGCCATGTTTTGTCTATGTTGTTGTTCAGTCACTAAGTTGTGTTGGACTGTTTGTGACCCCCATGAACTGCAGCTCACCAGACTCCCCTGTCCTTCACTATCTGCCAGAGTTTTCTCAGATTCATGTGCATTGAGTTCGTGATGCTATCTACCCATCTCCTCCTCTGCCTCCCCTTTCTCCTTTTGCCTTTAGTCTCTCCCAGCATCAGAGTCTTTTCCAGTGAGTCAGCTCTTCGCATCAGGTGGGCAAAGCACTGGAGCTTCAGCTTCAGCATCAGTCCTTCTAAGGAATATTCAAGGTTGATTTCCTTTAGCATTCACTGGTTGGATCTCCTTGCAGTCCAGGAGACTCTCAAGAGTCTTCTCCAACACCACAGTTTGAAAGCTTCAGCACTCATCCTTCTTTATGGTCCAGCTCTCACACCCGTAAATGACTACTAGAGAAACCATAGCTTTGACTCTGTGGACCTGTGTCAGCAAAGTCTCCCCTTTTTAATATGCTGCCTAGGGCCTCAGAAGGTAAGGAATCTGCTTGCAGTGCAGGAGACCTGGGTTCAATCTCTGAGTCAGAAAGATTCCCCTGGAGAAGGGCATGGCAACCCACTCCGATATTCTTGCCTGGAGAATGCCATGGACAGAGGAGCCTGGTGGGCTACAGTCCATGGGGTTACGGAGAGTCAGACACGGCTGAGCGACTCACTGTTTCATGTTCAGGTTTGGCTAGGTCTGGCTGTGTGGCTTTGGGCAGATTACTTTCTCAATGCTTCAGTTTCTGTGTGTGTTAAGTAAGTATAATAGCCTACCGCATATGTTTATTGTGAGAATCAAAAGTATTACATGACAGCACCTGTCACAGGCAAACGCTGAATTTGTAGTTGTTTTTTCGTTATCACTGTCATTGGCATTGCCGTAACAACTCTAAGAGGTAGATGTTCTTTCGCCTCTTTTGTAGATAAGAAAGACTGAACGTTCAGATTTAATATACACGAGTGTCTGGTGTCACTTGCTAGGAGCAGACACTAGAACCTTCACTGGAGAAACCTTCCTCATCTGTAGGAGTACCCTACAGCTTCCCATCCATGCATGCGGAACCTATAACACAGACTTACGGCCAAGGAAATCTTGACGCCGACATGAAATGCTATAGGTGATTACACAACTTTGTCTTTAGAATTCTCTTTTAAGTGAAACCTTCAGTTCTTACTGCACCAGGAAAATGCCTGTGAAGTAGTGTCCTTTCTTTTCTATCAGAACAGGTTCAGCTAGCCACTCCTGTCCCTCTGAACTCTCCTGGTAGGTGCAGGGAAAAGGGAAAAGGAAGTGCTGAAACCACCCACTGTGTATTACTTAACCTGTCTGTTTATCTGTTTCCTCATCTGTGAAATGGGAGTAATAATAGTGCCTGCTTTAGGAGGGTGTCTCTGACGATTAAACGAGTTTGCACAGAGAGAGCATCAGGAGCTGTGCCTGACACTTCACGAACATGTGCTGAACGTCGTCATTGGTGCTGTTTGCGATGGGACGCGCTGAGTGTGAGTCTACAGGATGAGCTGAATTCCGCTCTGGACGGCTCCCTCCTGTGTTCTCGCCTCTCCTTGCCTTTGCCGCAGTGTGTGTTTAAGCCCCTTTGGGAAAAGCTTTCCTCATTTTCCCCTGCTCCATCCCCAGTTAACTTGGGCAGCCCTGTTTTATGCCTTTGTAGGATCCTGCACTTGCCCTCTTGTTGAATTGGTCTATTTTATTGTTATTGTTTGCTTAGCTGGGTTTCTCCCTTTTGATTTACAAGCTGCATGAAGGCAGAAGCCATCTCTCTCTTAGTCATCACTGTATTCACAATTCCTGGAACATCCCTGGTACAAAGCATGCGCTTTATAAATATTTGCAGATGAATAAAGCTTAAATTTAATGAGGCTTAAACATGATCCTAAGGGCGTTGTCATCTGACCATTTTCGTGCAGTATCTGATTTCTTTAGCCTCGTGTCCTATTTCACTTTTGGAGGAGGAAGAAATTATCCTCCACCCTTCTAAGTCTAAGAATTAAGTTGACATGAGACAGATTAATAGGAGATAATCAAACAAAAGTTTAATTGTATGAATGCTGGAGAGAGACCCAAGAAGACTGAGCAACTCACCAAAATGGTCAAAATATCCTCATCTTAAATACCATCTTCAGCTAAAGACATGGCAGGATATTGCAGGTAGTGGTTTGGAACCTCAAACGGTTGGGGAGGAAGATAATTCACTGGAGATAGAAAAGCAAATGTTCAATAAACAGTTATTTCTGGTCTCCCTGCCCTACCAAGTTTCCTGCAGCACACCTAGCCCCTATTTTTTGCAGTTATGTGATGATAGCGCTATTCTATAACAAGAAAACTTCCTCAGTCTTCTGTTGCTTAAAGGTAATCAGCCTAAATTAATCCTCATGCCAGAGGGACACATTTGAGGGATTGGGGTGGGGGGGGGGGGTGTTGTACTCTTATATTTTTCAATAGGAAAGGAAAGCTTAGAACTTATCTAATAGTCACTATATCCAAACAGTCGTTGAAAAGTTTTCTTTTGAAAATAGGATATCTATTCTTTTGATCATAGGATATCTACTAAAGTCCATGTGTGAAATCTCCATCCCGATGGTCTCCTTGGTTTTAGCTTAATTTCATCTAATTTAGGAGCTGAGTACGAGAACTACTCACGTTTGTGCATGTATTGTTCTAGCAAAATATTTTTTAAAAAAAGGTTAATCCCTCTCTCCCCAAGTCATTTTATTATATTGTATTAACAGCAATCAATAAAGTTTTATTCACTTTTTTGAGCAGGTAATACATACATATAATAATGCATATGACATGATTCAAAAGGTACAAGGGTGTAAAGTGAAAACTACCTCTTCCACTCCTTTTTCCCTACCAGTTCTCTTCCCTGAAAGCATTTGTTACTTTCTAATGTATCCTTCCTGGCATAGTGAACACACGTTCAAATGTATATATTTGTTTAATATGTGTATGCATGTGCCTATATATACACGTACTCACACGTATATAGTAAAAATTCTCAGCTTGCCCTCCATAGGATCATTGATAACGTCATCAGAAATACATGAGTATCCAAATCCCCAGAGTATGTGTCAGACTTTGGGTTTTGTCAACCAGATAGGTGAACAATATTATCTCAATGTAATTTTGGTGTGTATTTATCAGGTTGAGTATCTTTTCATTGGTAGAAAAGCCATTTGCATTTTCCATTATGTTTTTTGTCCATTTTTTTCATGTGGGCTGTTGATGTCTGTCCAATTTCTGGGAACCCTACATATTAGGGAGAATAGTCCTCTGTGACATGAGTTTCAAGTTTCTTTTCCCAGTTTTGTCATGTGCTTTTGACTTTGTGTTCCTTACTTCTTTTGGATGCAGCATTCAAGCAAATGAAAGCAGTTAGCTAACTTGAATCTGTACCCTTGTTTGTCTCTCTCTTTTTGCTCAGGAACCTGGCTGCTATATCTGCCGTGTACTTGGAGCATTGGTCTGGCAGCGGACCCAGGCTGTCTCCCAGATTGGTACATGTTATCCCTGTTTGGCACAGGAGCTGTTCTGATGCGTGGAGCCGGCTGCACTATTAACGACATGTGGGACCAGGACTTTGATAAAAAGGTAGATTCGTCCCAGAAGGGCCCCAGAGGGGCTCCTCTCAGTTCTGCAGAGTAAGACCGTCGCCTGCCTTTTGGACGCCACATAAAGGGGCGGGGTCACCCAGTGTCCTCGCTGAAATCAGCAGAACAAGTGCCAGTATCCTCTGAACAACTGATGCTGCAAAGTGCGGGGAGCTGTCTTTCTCAACCCAGGAGCGGGGCGGTGGGGGCCGTATGCACTTCCTCTTCACAGCATAAATTCAAACTTGGAAGGGCAGAGTAAGGATATTGGAAGTGAGATTGAAAATTCCATCCTGAACCCGTGGGTGCCTGAAAGAACCGTCAGCCCTTCCTTTGAGAACTTTGGGGACCATAACTATTCCTATGTAAATCAAACCTTAGTTTAAATGAACCAAGGCAACCCTACTAGCATCTGCAAAAATAATTTCATCTTTTTTTCTCTCCTTAGAAAAAACAATACATGCTTACTATGAAACACTCAGTATAAAAATTAGAAAGGATAGAAAATGCCAGTCTTCCTTATCCACCTTCCCCAAGCCCCCAGAGAAAACTTCATTTAAAACTTGATACATTATATTTATTTTCTCAAGGGAAAGGTCCATTTTGTTTGCCTTTTATTCCAGCAGCCATACTATAACAAGTACAAGCTCATTAAATGCTTGAGTAAATACTCAAGTAAACTTTCACTTTGTAAGAAATCCAGGATGAATTATGTAAAGTAAATAATCATATAACACATAACGTGAATAATCTTCCTGGGTTTGCCTTTCCTGTAAGTGTGAGTTTTCCTTAAGTAAAGCACACCTATAATTTTTAGTTGACATTAGTATATATTTTTTTCATTTATTTTTATTAGTTGGAGGCTAATTACTTTACAATATTGTAGTGGTTTTTGTCATACATTGACATGAATCAGCCATGGATTTACATGTACTCCCCATTCATATTTTTTAATACAAAAACATTTATCAAATACCCACTGTGAATGAGACACAGTGACAGATTCTGGGATTGTGTGGATGGAAGATAACATTGCTGACTTCAGTTTAGTACTATTAGCTATCAAGAGATGGTGTCCATAAAGCATCATGGACGGGGTTAGAGAGAACTTTTTCAGGTAGGATGAGGTGACCTTCAAACTATGACAGAATAAGATGCCAAAAATAAAGGCTGGCTGGAAGGTGAAGGTCACCTGGATCTGCCTCTGGAGAGGCATGGCTGTGAGCTAAAGTCTGTGATGCTTGATGCCTGCAACTCTGGGTTTGTGTGTGTTTGGCTGGAGGGTAGGACAGTGGCAGAGAGTCACGTTTTGCACAGTAAAGGCATCTCTGTGTCTTGCTGACCCAGTTGGGATGCCTTGATCCATGCCAAGTGATGCACACTCTCTTAATTGGAAAGTTGGGGGTTTGCACATCCTGGTCGGTTTCTCATTCTGTATAACCATGTGAATGAGGCTTCTAGTGTATATCCCTTCGGAATAGTTATTGAACACATTTAGAGCAGCTTGGTGTCAGTTTCCTGATTGTGATAGTGTAAAGCTTTGCAGAATGTTCCCCTTGGAGGAAACTGGATAATGGATACATAGGCTTTTTATATTTCTTAAAATACAGAGATTTTTTTAATTGCATATTAATCCACAAATTATCTCCAAAAAAAAGTTTAATTAAAAATTTAATTAAAAATAACATGATTAACTTTTAAATAACATAATCAACTAACTTTTTCTACTTCTAAAATTAACAAAATAGAGCCATTTTAGTTTTCTCTTAAGTGATTTTTTTTCCTCCCTAGATAAAAGGGAACTGATTAGATATCTCACATCTCCCCCATGCCATTTTTCACTGATTAAAAGAATCCAGAGTCTAGGTTGACATACAGCAGAACACTTAAGTGAGTGTTTTATAGCTGTGGTTTTGCTAACACGAATTTTAAAATGTTATGAGCATCTCTTTGAGGGAGTGGGTTAAAAAGCTTGGTCAAATTGTCATGCTTACCTTACAGTTTCTTAAAGGCTGTAAATCTTTAAGTATATGTTTACGGCTGAAGGTTTTGCTTAATAGGTATGTGTGTTGGTCGCTTAGTCGTGTCCGACTCTTTGCAACCCCATAGACTGTAGTTTGCCAGGCTCCTCTGTCCATGGAGTTCTCCAGGCAAGAATACTGCAGTGGGTTGCCATTTCCTTCTCCATTTGGTTAATGTAGTAGATGACTAAGTAGATTGCTAATACATTAAATGATAAGTGAGTTGCTATCAGGTTTTATGGGTTAAATGTGTTTTGTTGATGGAGGTATGCAGTCTGCTAGTCATGTGATAAACATTATGTCCAAAAATCTCAGTGCACAGGTGTTAATGATTTGATTTTGTCAGCTGTGAGCATGCTAGTTTCATAGATGTGTTTTTAAATCATCATGTTACATCGTTTTTAGTCTTAGTCTTTTGATGAGTGCCTTATTTTCAGCTCTCACGTTTAGTTAGCCAGGCAGTTTCCATCATACTGAAAGGGCAGTGTAACCTTGTGATTAGTACCATGGTTGGTGGGACTGGACTGACTGTGCCACCTTCATATCTGTGACCTTGGAAAGTTACTGAGCCTCTCTGTCTCAGTTTCCTGAAACTTAGAAGGGACAAGAACTTCGAGTGGCTAAAAACAGTTGTTATAAGGATTCAACAATGCGATGCGAATATAACTCTTAGATTAAGTAGCATACTGTAACACTCAACTACTGGCAGGAATAAGCATAATATCCTAACTCAAATATAAGAACATAAATATTATTTCCACTTGAAACTACAAGAACCAAATTGAGGATAAAACATTCAGTTCTGGCACTAACCAAGATGAATCATTACAGTTTCTGACAAACTATTTCTTTGCACAGTGAGGCATGCTCTTAATCTGGTCAGCACATTTTTTCTGTAAAGGACCAGATAGTAAATATTTTAGCTTTGTGAGCCGTGTAGTCTTTGTTGTAATTACTGCATCCTGTTGCACCATGAAAGCAGACACATACAGTATGTAAGAAAATGGGCGTGTCACTGATTCAATAAAATTTTATTTGTGGACACTGAAATTTAAATTTCAACCTACTTGCATGTGGCACAATACTTTACTCTTTATCTGATTTACTTTCAATCACCAAAAAAAGTAAAAGCCATTCTTAGCTCATAGTGCCATATAAAAACAGAAGGTTGAATTTGGCTCACAGGCCATAGTTTGCTAAACCCTTGATATAAGTCATACAAAAATATATTAATTATAGTTAATATTTATGGCTTCAGACATTGCACTGTGAGGTAGGTACTATTATTACCTCTTCTTCTCTTTTCTTTTTCCTTTAGTAAGTCAGTAACCTCAACCTGAGGGAGGTTAAGTAATTTGCCAGAATTCACAGAGCCAATAAGTGATGGAATTGGATTCAAATGCTAGGCTCTCTGATACCAGATCCTGAATTCTCAGCTTCCAGCTGTGCTGAAAATTTTGGTTATGCTGTTTATTTGTGGTTGAGTTTAGAATAATCACAAGGTTTCAAACCCCGGCTCCGTGCATTGGAAATTTGAAGTCTTAGCCGCTGGACCACCACGGAAGTCCCATTCCCACTTTCAGACTCAGATAATCTGTCTTCTTTCTTCATATCTGACATCTGATTGCAGTGCTTCCCATACTCATGATAGCATTCACGTGATAGCACCCTTATCTGACATGCTCTGCAGTTTCCTTTCCTGACAGTCCCGTTATTTCTGTCCCTCATTGCTCTCTGAAAATAGAGCATATACTTGCTAAGCTGGGTAGCTAAACAGTTAGATCAGGATGTTGCTTTGTTTTGTTTGTAGATGGGGATGGGCGACAGAAAGAGGAATGAAGGGTGGGACTTTTTAGTTCTTTTCAAAGCTGTTTTAAATAGGAACTTTGATTCTTGCCAGTACTTCCAGTTTTCCCTTTTTATTCATGTATCTGTCTTAGTTGGTACCGTGGGCCAGTCATTTGAGTCAATGTCTAAGTAAATAATTGAGCTATTTCTCGACGCTAAGGGATCTGTTTTATGTGTTAAGGTTACAAGAACAGCAAGTCGCCCAATAGCTGCTGGAGACATTTCAACTTTTCAGTCCTTTGCTTTTCTTGGGGGTCAGCTGACCTTGGCCCTGGGCGTTCTTCTGTGTCTCAATCACTACAGGTACAGTAGATGTGGTTTTCATGAGCATGCATAAAATCTGTCATTTGGTGCAGAAGTGGATATAAGGTAGAATTGAAATACCTGAATCACAAAGTTGTTCATTACCTAATCAAGCAATTGTTTAACAGTCTGAGTTAACAATCTAAGTAAATCACCGCATATTATATAAAGTCAGGAATGCTTTCAGCCAAAGGAATGATGAGATCAGCAATTTTGTTTATCCTACACCACCTCCAGGACTTGCACTGTGTGTTGCCTGAAGGACTCAGGGCACTTCCCTAGGTTTTCCAGGTGCATGTGTGGGAGTGTGTGTATAAACCCATTTGTATAATTTTTCCAATCCACCTAGTGTCTCTGAAGTGGTAGGGGCAGGAGAGGCAGGAATGATTGTATTCACTTTGCAAAAAGAGGAACTGGGTCTTTCCCAGAGTCATAGCCCTAATCAGCGACAGAAGAAAAAAGGACTCATTTGTGTACCTCTTAAACACAGACAGAATTAAACTTTTGTGTATCAGATGGCTGCTTACCATATAGTGCTTCATTAAGACATAAAAGAAGAGGAGCTCAGCGAATAAGCATATGGAGGCTAGACTTACTGCATATCTTATCCTGAAAGTCAAGTGATATCTTATCAGTCGAGTGATAACACTTTGAAAGGTTATTCCTGGAGGGGTAATGCCAGGTGAGCTGTGAGCTCCTGAAAACCTCTGATGTTGTCCTCCTTTCCTAGGTGCTCTGTGACCTTATCTTCCAGAGAAATAATGCCTTGTCATGCATACAGGAAGGGGTATTTGGACTCCCATTCTGTGTTAGGACATCTCAGTTTACCTGCTGTCTCGATGTTTTAAAGCGAAATTTAGACAGACAGTAGCATATAGGACCTAACCGAAGAGTTGACTCATTGGAAAAGACCCCAATGCTGGGAGGGATTGGGGGCAGGAGGAGCAGAGGACGACAGAGGATGAGATGGCTGGATGGCATCACCGATTCAATGGACATGAGTTTGAGTAAACTCTGGGAGTTGGTGATGGATAGGGAGGCCTGGCATGCTGCGATTCATGGGGTCACAAAGAGTCGGACACGACTGAGCGACTGAACTAAACTGAGCATATGGGGAATATAATGTTGGATACTGGGGCCAGATGCCTTAGGCCTGAGTCCACCCCTGCTGCTGACCAGCTGTTAGAACACGTGGCAACTTACTTTCTCTTTGTGCTTTAGTTTTTCCATCTGCCAAAAACAAAACAAAAACCAACCAACCAAGCAGGATAAAACTGCCCATCTCTTAGCGTTGTGGTGAAGATTATTATGACTTCACATATGTAGAGCGGTTAGAGTAGTCCTAATACATGAAAGCGATATATGTGTCAGCTATTCTTATTTTGGTTGGGTGTTTATAACACTAAAGATATTTTCTTTTAAGTTATTTTTAATTGGAGGATAATTGCCTTTCAGTGTTGTGTTAGTTTCTGCCATACAACAATGCGAATCAGCCATAAGTATACGTATATACCCTCTCTCTCTTGAGCCTCGCTCTCGCCCCCCGCCCCCCATTGCGCCCCCTAGGTCATCACAGATCCCTGAGCTGAGCTCCCTGTGAATAGCACTTCAGGTATTTTCTAATCATCCTGTATACTGATTAAAGTTCAGGAATCAAGGTCTAGGAAGGAAATTTTACCAAATGAAAAGGTATAAGTCAAGATAAATCATTACAGTTGTTATCTTTTAGCGATTTTTAAGAGATGGTGACACTAATCTTTGTAATATTTTTTTTCTTGATTTCAGTATAGCTCTTGGAGCAGCCTCCCTACTGCTTGTCATCACCTACCCGCTAATGAAACGAATTACATACTGGCCTCAGTTAGCCTTGGGTGAGCTTGAAATAACTACATAAGTATCTCCTTCAATACCCTCAAGCTGTACTTTTATATGTAATATCATACACATGTGTGTGTAATGTGACAGAGATAAAATGTCAGGTCAGTCTTGAAATTTTGCGAACCAGGAGTAGATTTTCATATTTTAAAAGAGGGCAGTTAGCTGCCTTTATTGGCTAAAAAATCTTGGACGTTTACCAAGGTCATCATCATTATTTCCTGAAATGTTTGTAAAAATCTGGGTATGTCACGAAGAAAAAAATTGGCTGCCTCGAGCCTACCGGTTTCTTCAGGTTGATAGATGTGGATGTCCCGAAGATGCCGAGGACTTGAGAACTACGGTCACAGTTTGTGAGCGCTTCCTCCCTCTCTGTGAAGCCTTCCTTAGACTTAGCCAGTCTCTCTCATAGCACTCTAATGTGGCACTTACCCATTTCAACAGCAGCAATTAACAGGAAGATCCTGAGAGCCTGCCCTCTCTCCCCATTAATAAACTGTAGACGCCTAGAAGATAAAGTATTCTTTGAATACTTTATGGCGCTGCATCTAACATAGCACTTGGCACATCACAGTTCTCAACAAATATATGTTGGTAGAAAGAGGAAGATAGGTAGGTAAGTCAAAATCTATTGCAGAAATGACTGTTCCTAGATTTTTTTCTTCTGTTCCTAGAATAATCTTGAAGAGTGTTAAGAAAGCTGGTGCATTTACTTTAAGTCTTTATTGAAACCCTAACTCTTACTTTGTGTCAGAAATCACGCCAAGTACTAGAAAAATAAAAAGGACCAAAAGGCGTTCACCGTCTAAGGAGCGAGTCTCTCCGGTGCCTCAGACTCAGTGAGTCCCGGACGCCTTTTCTCAGATCCCCTTTTCTTTTTCCTTCTGTGCTGCGTGTTTCCACTTAGAATCCCTCTTCCTCAGCTGATGAGTGCCTCTCGTCTGCGGTCCCACGGAGCACGCGTGTCAGCGTGCCTGAGGGACCTGCAGGTTGGAGATGTCTACCTGGCAGTTCAGTGTCTGATCCAAAGCTGAGGGAAGTGATTAGGCTGACACACAGATATTTAGCAGTCGTCGCCCTGTGGATGTTTGGTTATGGTCCTTAGAGAGGGCGTAAGGAGCCAGTGCTCCTGTCTGTACTCTTGTTTCTGTAACTTGAAGGGGAAATACAGCCATGAAGGAAAGGACCCAGGAGTTCGACTCAGACAGGCCTGAGTGCAAGCCCTAAGGCTTCTACTATTTATTGGTTGTGCCAGGCGTCGTACTAGGTAGGACACACGTTCTTCCCACAGAACCCCCTATTTATCATGGGGTATTATTCTCTCTGTTAGCAAAGTAATTTTTAATTAACCTTTCGGGTTCTGTTTTCCTGTTTTGTAAAGTGTTGCTAATAACTACCATAGACACTTGGGGGAATTTAAGAAAGAAACATGAGAAAACAGCACACTGAGCCTAATACATGGGAGCACTTAATACGTGCAGCTGCCTCCTTCCCTCCCTGTGGATTCTGAAGTACATTTAGACTTTTCTTCTCTTTCTGTTTCACTAATTGTAGGGTTGACCTTTAATTGGGGAGCATTGCTTGGATGGTCTGCTGTCAAGGGCTCCTGTGATCCATCTGTTTGCCTTCCTCTTTATTTTTCTGGAATTATGTGGACTCTGATATATGATACTATCTATGCCCATCAGGTAAAGAAATATCCTTTTTTGTAACTTTGGTTTAACTGTTGTTTTAGAAACTTTAAGAAGCAAATTAAAAGGAAAGGTTTATTCTTTGGGCTTTTTTTAAAAATTGAGGTAATTGGTTATCATGTTACGTGTGTCATTGTACAGCGTTGTATTTTGACTTCTGTGTACACTTCAGGGCACTGACCACCAAAAGTTTAGTTTCCACCCGTCTCCATACTGCTGACTCCCTTTGTCTGTTTTGCCCTCCCCACAGCCTTCCCCTCTGGTAACCACTAATCTGTTCTCTGTATCTATCTTTGTGTTTAGCTTTGTTTGTTCATTTATTTTTTTAATATTCCACATGTGAGTGAAATTGTATGGTATTTGTCTTCTTCTGTCTGACTTTTTATTTAATATAATATTTTATCTAGCATAATACCCTCAAGGTCCATCTATGTTGTTGCAAATGGCAAGATTTTATCTTTTTATGGCTACATAGTATTCCATTGTGTGGACATAACACATCTTTGTCAGTTCATCTGTTGATGGGCACTTAGGTTGCTTCCATATCTTAGCTTGTATATAATGCTGTGATAAACATTGGGGCACATGGATATCTTCCTGAATTAGTGTTTTTGTTTTCTTTAGTAGGTACCCAGAAGTGGAATAGTTGGATCATACAGTAGTTCTGTTTTCACTTTCTGAGACATCTCCATGCTGCTTTTCCGCAGTGACTGCACCTGTTTATATTCCCACCAGCAGCTCACAGAGGCTCCTCTTTCTCCCTCACCTTGTCAACACTTGTTATTTCAGGTCTTTCTGATAGCCATTCTAACAAGCATGAGGCGATCTCTCTTCATGGCTTTGGTTTGCATTTCCCTGTTGATTAATGATGCTGAACATCTTTTCATATGCCTGTTGGCCATCTGTATGTGTTCTTTAGAAAAACTCTTCAGGGCAATGTCTGTTCAGACCCTTTCCCCATTTATTAACTAGAGTTTTTTTTCTTGAGTTCTTTATATATTTTGAATATTAACACCTTACCGGATATATGATTTGAGATATCTTCTCCCATTCGGTAGTTTGTCCTTTCACTTTGTGGATGGTTTCCTTTGCTGGGCAGAAGCTTTTTAGTTTGATGTAGTCTTATTCATTTATTTCTGCTTTTGTTTTGCTTACCTGAGAAGATATATCCAGAAAGATATTACTAAGACTGACATCAGTCAGGAGTGTACTGCCTATGTTTTCTTCTATGAGTTTTATGGCTTCAGGTCTTACATTCAAATTTTTAATCCATTCTGAGTTCATTTTTATGTATGATATAAGATAGTGGTCTCGTTTCATTCCTTTTGCACATGGCTGTCTAGTTTTCCCAACACCATTTATTAAAGACAGTTTTTTCCATTTTGTGTTCTTTGCTGCTTTGTTGTAAGTTAATTGTCCATGTACAGGTGAGCTTATTTCTGGGCTCTCAGTTCTGTTTCCAGTGGTCTATGTGTGTCTGTTTTTCTGCCAATACCATGTGATTTTGACTATGATAGCTTTGTAGTATAATTTGAAATCAGGATATATGATACCTCCAGCTTTGTTCTTTCTTCTCAAGACTGCTTTGGCTTTTTAGGGTCTTTTTTAGTCCCATACAAATTTTAGGATTTTTTCTTCTGTTTCTGTGAAGAAAGTTGTTAGTATTTTGAAAGAGGTTGGATTGACTGTAGATTACTTTAGGAAGTATGGATATTTTAGTAATTTTAATTCTTTGAATCCATGAGCATGGAATATTTTTCCATTTCTTTGTGTCTTCATTTCTTTTAACAATATCTCATATTTTCAGAGTACAGGTCTTTTACCTCCATGGTTAAATTTATTCCTTGATATTTTGTTGTTGTGACTGTAAATGAGATTATTTTCTTGATTTCTCTTTCTGCAAGCTCAGTGTATAGAAACACACAAGTTTTTCTATATCAGATTGGTCCCCTACAGCTTTACTGTACATATTTATAGTTTCTAATAGTTTTTTGGCAGCATCTTCAGGGTTTTCTATATATGAAACCATGTCATCTGCAAATAGTGATTGTTTTACTTCTTCCTTTCCAATTTGGGTGTCTTTTCTTTCTTTTTCTTGCTCAGCTGCTCTAGCAAGGAGTTCCAGTACTATGTTGAATAAAAGTGGCAGGAATGGGTATCCTCATCTGGTTTCTGATCCTGGAAGGACAGCTTTCAGATTTTCACCATTGAGTATGTTTGCTGTGGGTTTGTCTTATATGACCTTTATTATGTTGAGGTACATTCCCTCCATGCCCACTTTGCATGCAGTCTCTAATGTCACATGACCGTGATTACAACAATAAATAGAAATGCTTACAAATAAAGTTGCTAGAGCAGACCAGTCTGCCATGTGTGAGTGTATCATCAAGACCTCGCTCTACTTAAACAGGAAGGATTTGTTGGGAGAAGCAAGGAATAAACTGAGCTGGAAGTGAAATCTGAATGGATGTGGCTAGGTAGCAAGTGATTATTTTTCTACATGTTTGATTTTAGCAAGATTGAAATATATAGGAAATCATCAAAATTTGAGAACTCTGAAGTAAAGAAGAACCATGTGAAGAATTAGACTTGAGTTTGATTTCTAATTTAGTAAAAGTCAGTATAGGATTGTAAAAGTACAGTGATACATAGAAATAGACCTGGAACATCATTTTAGCAGTAATATTTAACTTCGATTTGGCCTGCACATTCATTTTTGATCAACTGTGTTTCTGAGTTATTGTCATTTTTCACAACTTACGGTATATCTACATGGTTTTTATGTTTTTATTTTTTTCGTTATGCTGGGTCTTTGTTGTGGCATATGGGTTTCTCTAGTTGAGGCTCACGGGCTCTCTTATTGCAGCACATGGTCTTAGTTGCCCTGCAGCATGTGGGATCTTAGTTCTCCAACCAGGGACTGAACCCATATCCCCTGCATTGGAAGGCGAGTTCTTTACCACTGGACCATGTGGGAGTCCCAGCGTGGTCTTTAAGTCACAGTTTCTACTGGAATTAGATGTTAGTAATGGTTGCACCAGGCTTCTCAGGTGGCCCTAACGGTAAAGAACCCACCTGCCAATGCAGGAGATGTGGGTTCGATCCCTAGGTCAGGAAGATGCCCTGGAGGAGGGCATGGCAGCCCACTTCATTACTCTTGCCTGGAGCATCCCATGGACAGGGGAGCTGGGTGGGCTATAGTCCATAGGGTTGCCAAGAGTCAGCTATGATTGAAGTGACTGAGCACGCACACTCGCACTGAATTACCTACTTAAAAATGGTGAACTTTGTGGGATGTGAATTAAATCCCAATAAAATTGATTTCTTACTGCTCTCCAATATTAGGATAAGAAAGATGATGCTTTGATCGGGCTTAAGTCCACGGCACTGTGGTTCCGTGAAGACACCAGGAAGTGGCTCACTGGCTTCAGTGTGGCCATGCTGGGGGCGCTGAGCCTGGTGGGAGTGAGCAGCGGCCAGACTGCGCCCTACTACGCTGCCCTGGCTGCCGTAGGAGCCCATCTGGCTCACCAGGTTTGGTCTTTTTCTTTCCTTTCCCTCTTTTTCCCTTGGCATAAATTATAAAAATCACTTAAACCAAATGCCCTCTCTGTTTTACTAAGCAAGACACTTCCTAAAACAATTGCTTGGTTTGTACCGATTGACTGTCCCTTCCCTGCCCCAGTATGCCATATAAAAAAGCTAGCTGTATTATTTTAGAGAAACAGTATAAACCTAAACCTAGATACTTTTTTCCTTCTGATTTTCTTGGAATTATTTCTGATGCATGTCTAGAAAACTCTGAGCAATGTCTTAAGTCTGTGACTCGAGTTGAATTACTCTGAAGGCAAACTGATCAACACAACCATGTCTTTTAAATGTGGACATCTGTTGATGGTTAGCAAACTAATCACTCACATGTTCGGGTCCCACTGGCATTGAGACCAAGGCAAGATAAGAACAGAATGCTAAGATGTAAACAGAGGGAGGGCCAGGTACATTAACTATCTCTCGATGCATTGGACAGCCCTGCACAGTAGAGCGCTGTCCTGCCCAAATGTAACTTACTCTACTGTTGAGAAACTGCTCCAAAGAATGAAGCTAAAATGAAGGGTAGGAGCTGGGAAGCAGATCTTAGATCAGTCAGTGTAAGGAAGAAATTTCTAAATAGAACTAGAAATAGCATGCGTTGCCTCTCCACGTGTTCCTCCACCTGTCAAGTGCTGGTTTTTAGGACAGCTTAGAGGCTAGCCATTGAAAGAGATGGTTGATTGTTTCCTACGTTGGGAAATACTCTCAGGTGCATTAAAGGCTTCCCATTGCTTAAAATTCTACAACGTTATCCTCTTCATAGTGACATATTTATCTGTGATGCTGAGACCAAGCATGTCTCTTTCCTCCTAGATTTACACTCTGGACATCCACAGACCTGAAGACTGTTGGGAAAAGTTCACCTCCAACCGAACAACAGGACTAATAATTTTTTTAGGGATTGTCCTTGGGAACTTGTGGAAAGCAAAGGAGACAGATGAAACAAAGAAAAATATAGAAAATAGAATAGAAAATTAAGATTAAGTTTATCTAGGAATTTTTGAAACAGACTTTTACAAAACACTTTCAGGTCTTGTTACCACAGAATTAGATTTGAATAAGTCTTATAGTATGTTACTAAATTACAAACCAGTAAATGAAGTTTTAGAGCATTTTGGCCTAGATTTTAGTTCAAGTATGTATATGTCAGATTCTTCTCCTGTCACAGGAACCAGGGACTGTTTAGGATTTGCGGTGACCAGGAGTATTTAATGCTTTCTTGCTGTTGTAATCCTCATCTAGAGTTACGGGAATTATATGATTTTTAGCACTTCAGCAATAAAAACTCATATATGTCTCATATAAATGAATGTCTCTGGGAAAGCAGACTCTGTTTTTAGGGGAAAAAATAAAAGCTGCTACAGAAAGTCGGGGTTTACTGTTCTTTGCATTGACCTTTACTTACTGCCAAAAGCTGTAATTCAGGAAACCATTCTGGTTTTTATATTTTAGGAGAGTTTAAGTAAGGAAATAAATTTTTTTTTTTACCTACTCTACGTATACATACTGGTGTTATTTTCAACCCTGACATTTATTTGCAAAGCCTCTGTGTGCAACCATAGGGACTAGAATGGGCAGGCAGTCACCAGGGACTATTTCATTTCTGTTTTTTATCTCAGCTGATTGTAATTTATAGGATAGTGGTATATTGGTTAAGTATAATAACTATTTCTTTCCTTGCCTCCTCCAGAATATTCTCAACACAGGAGCCAGAATCATTTTCTTAAGTCCTCTATCAGATGATGTCATTGCTCTGCTCAGAACCCTCCAGGACCTTCCCAGTCACCGAGCACAAACAAAGTCTAGTCACCTGGCAAGCCCACGATGGTCTGGCCTTGTCTGTGACTCGCCTTCTCCGGGGGGTCTTCCCGACCCAGGGGTCAAACCCAAGTCTCCTGCATTGCAGGCAGATTCTCTGCCATAGGAGCCACCCAGGAAGGCCCCACTAGGTAGAGTTTGGTATATGTTAAAACTTGTCAAGGGCCGAATTGTTTTGCCCTGAAATTCATATAGTAAAGTTGTAAGCCACCCTTAGTAACACAAAACATAACCATATTTGGTGACAAGGTCTTTAAAGAGGTTAGTAAGTGAAACTGAGGTTGTTGGGGTAAACCCTAAACCATTGGGACTGGTGTTCCTTTCAGAGGAAGCCTGGATACACACAGAGACACACAGAGAGATGACTGAACGCACAGGGAGAAGATGGTTGTCTACAAGCCAAGGAGAGAGGCTTCAGAAACCAGCCCTTTGAACACCTTGACCTCAGACTTCTGGCCTCCAGCACATGAGAAAGTGCAGGTGGTTTTTAACCACCCTTTTGTTATGACAGCCCAAGCAAAGTTAATACCAAGCTGTAGTACTGAACTGTACAGAAAAGACACTTTGCAAACGCAGTTACTAGGAAGCACTCCCTTTCCACCCCAACCATGACTTTTTTTCCTCAAAGCACAAGTTTTAACCCATATGGTGCCCGTAACAATAGTAAGCTGAATACAACCCTCCAAAGATGTCCATGTCCTAATGCCAGAGCCAGAAAATATATCACCTTATATGGTAAGGAGGCTTTGCAGATATAATTGAGGAGGAGCTTGAGGCAAGGAGATTATCCTGGTTTATCCAGGCAACTGCAGTGTAATCACAAGGGTCTTTCCAAGAAGGAGGCAAGAAGGTCAAGTCAGTACTAGGAGATGTGATGACAGAATCAAGAGGTTAGAGTGAGGCAATAGAGGGTTCACAAGCCAAGAGATGTGAGTGACCTTTAGAAGCTGAGAAAGACAAAGACACTGCTTATCCCCTCTGAGCCCCTTGACGGTCCCAACCCTGCCGACACCTTGACTTTAGCGCCATGAGACTGAGTTTGGACTTCTGACCTCCAGAACTGTAAGATCAGTTGTGTTGTTTCAAGCCACTAAATTTGTGGTAATTTATTGCAGCTTCAACACATAAACTAATAGAACAATTATTTGAGCTCTGTTGACCTGTCCTCTGAACTCTTGATACCAGTAGCAGCAGAATGCAAGTCCAGGTGACAGCTCACTGAGGTTTGAGTCTCTCCTTTAACATATCCCAGTTGCCTGATCTTCCTGTGGTTCAGTTTCTCAAACGGGGCTAAAAATAATCTTGTAGATTTCAGAATCATCTGTCTGAAAGCAGATGCCATGATAACTGGGGCTTTGTCTTATCCATTAAAATATCCCCAGTATAGAATGCCCACTGTAGGCATTCAATAAATATTTGTAATTTATCATACATCAATGAGCTAACATTTGAATACATGCCAGAACCAGGGTTAATTGCCACTGTTAGAAATTATGAATGGTGTTCAACAACACATTAAAAAATTCACACTGTGAGGCACCATAATAAAAATATAGATTTTCATGTTGTTTAGTCGTTTGGTCATGTCTGACTCTTTTGCAACCCCATGAGCTATAGCCTGCCAGGCTCTTCTATCCTTGGAATTCTCCAGGCAAGAATACTGGAGTGGGTTGCCATTTCCTTCTCCAGGGGATCTTCCTGACCCAGGAATTGAACCCAGGTCTTCTGCACTGCAGGCAGATTCTTTACCAACTAGGCCATCTGGGAAGCCCAGATTTTCATGTACACATGATTAGAATAAGTAATTTAAAACTAAAGAAAAATAGATATGTCATGGGTAATAGGTTATTATAATAAGGTTTTATAATAACATCAGATAGGCACTGGTCCTAAATATCATGTTTTAAACTAATAAATGAATGTAAACTTTAGTTCTTCCTATGACATCACCTACTCAATGGACATGAGTTTGAGCAAGCTCGGAGAGATGGTGAAGGACAAGGAAGCCTGGTGTGCTGCAGTCCGTGGGGTCGCAAAGAGTTGGACACGACTGAGCGACTGAACAACAACAGCAAGGTGTTATTTCTGGGCTTAACTGGTGGCCTGCTGTATATGCTACTGCCCAGTGGAGCCACCGGCCACATGAGATGATCAAGTACTTGACACGTGGCTTGTCTTAATTGAGATGTCCTGTAAGTGTTAAATACACACCAGATTCCAAAGACTTAGCATAAAAGGTGCAAAATGTCTCATTAGTAATTTACTGATTTCAAGCTGAAATCACATTTTTGTATATTGAGTCAAATATGTTATTGCAATTAATTTTACCTGTTTTTTAAATGTGGCTACTAGAAAAACATTGTACTAGTCACTAACATATTTCTGATATATAGTAACACTCTATATGGGATCATCCATATGCAAAATATTTGATCTATAAAAATTACATAAACTCAGAGCTGTAGTTTCCTTATCTGCTAAACACAGGGGGGAAAATTTAACTTCACTTGGTTGATGTGAGGCAAAACTGATAAATTTCCTGGCACATGATAAAAACTCAAAGAATGTTAGTTCCTTTCTCCCCCGTTCCCTTGTTTGAAAGTAAGTAGCTATGGAAAAAGAAAAACACTGAAGCAAATCAGTATGTCAGCACTTTCTAAGTTCAGTGCTACCAACAGTATTGTCTTTCTATTTGGGTGCTTTTTCTTGAATTAGTTGAGAGAGATGATGATAAATAGAAGATTGATAATGGATGGATGGATAAACCGGCCAGTGGAAACATAGATATTCAGTTAGTCCACCTCATCTATTGACATTTTAATCAGAAAATGGGAAAAAAAACTTCCTAGCTTTCCTTCCCTTCTCGACCTTGAGCTAGAATCGTAAAAGCAGTGCACAGTGCCTGGAACAGTAGGAGCACCCACTAATTGCTTGTTGGATGAATAACTGAAACTCTTGAAATAGGTAGGGGATGTAGAAGGGCTTCCCAGGTGGCGCTAGTTGTAAAGAATCCGCCTGCCGATGCAGGAGACATAAGAAACACAGATTCCATCCCTGGGTCAGGAAGATCCCCTGGAGGAGGGCAGGACAGTTCACTCCAGTATTCTTTGGAGAATCTCATGGACAGAGGAGACTGGCAGGCCACAGTCCATAGAATCGCAAAGAGTCAGGCACGACTGAAGCAACTTAGCAGCAGCAGTGTCCATAGAGACCACCTAGTCCAGTGAATTTCTCAGACTTTTCTTAAATAGGCAACAGAAATGCATTCTGCAAATAGAAGCTTACATAAAGTCCCAATATATAAATTACAGATTAAAGCAGAGACTTGACCCTTTGAGCTGTGAAGGCACCTGAGTCCTTCCTCTGAGCCTGCCTTTTTCATTCAGGGGTATCCCTGCTGGACTGCCGGGGAGACTTGGGATTCTCACACCATCCAGTCAGAAAACTGTTTCTCCTCTAATCTGGCATGAAAGGAAACCAGGCCTAAGGAAATAATTTACCTACAATAATTTATCCATAGGGCTTCCCTGGTGGCGCGGCGTTAAAAAATCCACCTGCCAATGCAGGAGATGTGGGTTGGATCCCTGGGTCTGGAAGATCGCCTAGAGAAGGCAATTGGCAACCCACTCCAGTATTCTTGCCTGGAGAACCCCATGGACAGAGGAGCCTGGTGGGCTACAGTCCATGGGGTTCCAAAAGAGCTGGACACGACTTAGCAACTAAGAACAACAACAGAACAATTTATTGCCAGATGAAAATTGAGATAAGAATGAACATTTAAATCCACATGTTTAATTACTGTCTAAGAGCCAACTAAATCTTTCCAGCTTCAGATTCTTTATATCTAAAATGAGTAAAATACTACCTACCTCATGGTGGTGGTGTAAGGATTGCACAAGAAAACAATCTCATCTGGTCTCGTGACTTTAAATGACATCTGTATACTGATTATTACTAAATGTGTACCTGCAGCCTAAACTTTCCCTTTGAACTTGAACAGAATTGACTGTTAAACTGCCTACCTGACGCTACCCCTTGAATTCCAAATAGGTACCGCCAACTCAACATGTTCAAAACTGAGCTCTCTGTCTTCCCTCTCACACCTCCTCCCACCCTCCATACCGCCTCAGTAATGGCATCCACTCTTCCAGTTGTTCTGG